AATTTGCCATCAATGAGGTACCAAAGGCATTCTGGGAATAGCCAGGTTTTTACACGATTTTACAGATTTCTGGAAGGAGTCCTGCAATCCAGAGAGTGGGGTCCTCTTTGTCTTGGGATGGGGGGAATTTGATAAGGAATGTCTATTTCAGTCATAGGACAAAAGAAGACAGGTAGAAACGGGATGATTGTCACTTATTACATCCAAGGTACACACATAAAATATTCCACATCTACATCGGGATAGGGAAGTTTTGGTCTTGTTTTTGTGCAAGGATCGCAAAAGCTACATCTGCTTTAAATCTTCCTATCTTCTCCCTAACTATTAAGAACCAGAAGAATCCACTCAGGGTATCTTGGCACTGGGATGGAATGTGACCTATTCAGGATAATGTCTGATATATTAATCCATATAACTCTGAAAACATGCCCTAAAGACTAAAAGAATCTGTAAGTCAAAAGAAATCGCAGAGAGAGGCCACTGCAAATAAGCTATGGTTGCTGAATTTACACATGGCTATGATTTTTAGAATTGAGTAAGCATGCTAGGTTGGATTTCTGCAGTAGCTCTAATACAGGGGTCTCCAACCTTGGCAACTTTAAGCTTGGTGGACTTCAACTCCCAGAATTCCCCAGCCAGCTTTGCTGGCTGGGAAATTCTGGGAGTTGAAGTCCTCCAGGCTTAAAATTGCCAAGGTTGGAGACCCCTGCTCTAATATATAGTTCCAAAATGGCACCCACAATAAACATTAACTGTCCTGGCCTTGTTTAGGACAAAATTTTGCCTATAAAGATATTCAACCTATTTAATTCAGAGGATACATCTTTTCTTAGATAGAAAAGGGAGAAAATCTTTTTTTGTTATATCCCAAGATTACAGAATTTAAGTTCCTGACATTGTTCGCTCCTCTCAAGGTGGCTAGAGCTATCAAGAGGTCCAACTCAGAAATACCTGCTCTGCTCTTTTTTCTGACTTCAGCTTGTAAATTTTGGCAAATATTGAAATTCAAAGCATTCCATTTGATGTCTCGCAATGAGTTCTCCCTTTTTAAAGGTCATTACTTCAGGTTTGGCATGTGGAGAAAATAAACCTCACTGCAGGAGGAAAAGATAGGGTGAGAGGAAAGAAGTGCTGAATTTTGAGGACAGAAGTATGATCTGAGTACAAGGACTTGAAGTAAGCATGATGTATGTTCCAACGTGAGTTCTTACTTATCTAATGTTTGGCCAACTAGATTACGTGCTATTATATAAGGGCTTATATATCTGTAGAAAGTGCTTTAAGTATGCAATATAAGTTGTAATTGGTGTTCAAGGTGCTGACTGCCCTTATTACTTGTTGATATGAAAGTTTTAAAGGCTCAAGGCCGTTGGAAGTCCCAGCATAGGGTTCCAGGTTGTGATTTCAAAAGAATTTACTTTCAGATAAAGGATCTAGGTTGTAAATTCCACGGAGATCAATTGAATGGACTCCCTAACACTTATATATGAGATTACATTCCTAATAGTGAAGCAGTTACTGTATTTTTCAGAGTATAAGATGCACCTTTTTCCCCCATAAAAGGGGGTGAAAATTTAGGTGCATCTTATACACCGAATGTAGTCCCATCCACCCACTGGCCCCCACTCTTTGGCCTCTGCCTCGCAGCAGTTACCTCCTTGCAAGCAAACAGCAAGAAAAAATAGCTCCTTTCAGCTTCAGCACAGGCTAATTAGCACAAGTTGATTGGATCGGCCTCCCAACTCTCAGCTGATTTGCTCTCAGCTGTTTTGCACAGGCCTCTGCTGCTTGCTGCAAAGAGGTAAATTGCTGGAACAGATTTTTTTTTTCCTTGTGCTAATCAAGCTATGCTGAAAACGAAAATGAAAGTAAAGCAGGCTGTTTGCTGTAACGAGGCAAAATTGCTCAGAGGCAGAGGGAGATTTCTTTTTCTTCTTCTCCTCACCAAAAAAGGTAGGTGCGTCTTGTAGTCCGGTGCGTCTTATACTCCGAAAAATACGGTAAGTATTCTGCTCTAAACAATTATTTCCTTGAAATGTCAATATCATTCACCCCGATTATTAACCCTTTCACTACAGCACAGGTCAGACTGAAAATAGTTTGAAATGAGGCTTCAAAGCACTTCTATGAAGCTACAGTTTTAAAGAAATGCCAGTAATATGATGGAGTCATATTTGCACAGGGGCCGTGCACTTTTTCTTTATTATCACCTCTTGCTAAACAAATTCTGTAGATTTTGAAGCCTTTCATTTAATCATAGTTCACTGAGACTAGAAACAAATCAGTATTCTCTGACTAAAATACCAGAGAAAATCACCTTCTAATAGACTCTTTTGATTTCGGTGAGCACTGATGGTTTTACGAAATGTTTCAAAGCATAATTAAAAGAGTGCAAGTTTTTTTTAGCTGTTCAATTCAAAAAGAGTTGTTCCAGCTCTCCTAAAAGTTTTCAGATATTGCTTCACCCATCTTGAGGCCAGTTTTCAAGGCCAGAACGTTTTCACAATAGCCTGAGTAGTACCAGAACATTTCCAAAATGCTCAGGACAATCATTTTGAACTCCAAATGTCATGTTTTGTACCAGTAGCTGTACTAGACAGTGTTTTGAAATATTTTAGATTCAAAACATTTTGCGCACCACTTTGCGCACTTTTGCGCTAGAAGAGGCAAGATTAGTTTTGTTTCTCTTTTAGTGTCTCACACCACTATTATAAGGCATAGTAAAGACCCTGATGTCCTGAATGGGTTAGCGTACTGGGTAAAGAGCAGCCAGAATACATGTCACAGGTGACATACTGACAGGTTGAGGCCACAGCAATACCGTCCATCTCTAGCTTTTCCCACCTTCCCTCAAAAACATACTAGAAATACAACTTCCCCCTTCCCTTTTCCAGAATCTCTTCATCTGTATTATAGCAATAGCACTTAGACTTATATACCACTTCACAGTGCTTTATAGCCCTCTCGAAACGGTTTAGAGTCACTGTATTGCCCCCAACAATCTGGGTCCTCATTTTCCGACCTCAGAAGGATAGAAGGCTGAGTCAACTTTCATCCAATCAGGATCAAACTGCCGAACTGTTGGCAGCCGGCAGTCAGCAGAATTAGCCTGCAATACTGCATTCTAACCATTGCGCCACCATGACTCTTTTTAAAATTATCCCTTATCAATAGTAATATTTATTTTGTCTACATCTCACCTTTCCTTCAGAGACATAATGAGACATACGGAGGATTCTCTTCTACTTTCTCCACAATCACCTTGTGAGATTGGGTGGTGAATGTATGTGTGTGAGAGACTAGTCAAAAGTCACTAAGTGAATTTCCATGGCTAAAGGTAACCCTAACCTGACAAACACCTGAACCACTCCACCACTCTTTCAATTTCTTGCATAGGTAAGTTCTTGCTCTGCTATCTTAACCAGAGGGTTTTTAACACACTCAGTTAAAACTAGTGAGAACTCCAAACAGGTATTTTGAATGGGGGCTGAAGGAGTCTCACATGTCTGCCTACGACAGGGGTGTCAAACTGGATTTCCTTTGTGGGCCGGATCGGCATTGTAGTTCTCAGTGGGCCAGCCAGGGGTGGGATTTGGCCAGCCAGGTGCTGCAGGAAGCCATCCAGACTGAAAACAGGGCACAGGGGCTCACACAAAGCTCCCTTGCGGCCCGTTTTTGCTAGCAGAGGCACCACAGGCCAGTCCTTTGCTTTTTGCAAGCCAGCCCCACGGTCCAGATTTAAACACCCAGCGGGCTGAATGTAGCCCGCAGGCCTTGTGTTTGACACCCCTGGTCTATGACATAGCATAAGCCAAGCTGTATCTTGCATACATATCTCAAGCCTGGAAGTCTTATTGGTGTCAACTGGACTCACTTTTAAATAATTGGGAAAGAACTACAATAAAAGCAAATGGCATTCTGTGTCAAGGTAAGCCAATGCAATTACACATTTATCGCAATTTCTCTTGACTTAGGATAGGCTGGGTATCTGGAATATCAAAATAAGTGAACAAGATGGATTTTGAAAAATGGATAAATCACTCCCGTTTGCATGGATAAATGAAGAAGATGCAGCTGTCCAGATGATGGACTACAGGTTGCATCATCTGCTGTCACTAGCCATGTCAACTCGACCCGAAGGGAGTTAATCAACTAACAAGCTATGAAGAGTCACAAATTTCCGATCTGTACTTTGGTGAGTGGTTGCAAGCTGAGAGAAGCCACATGTTCAGGGACAGTTTTGCTTGTAGAAAATGTCTTTTGGGTTCCATGTCCTTGCAATAAAATGATCATAAGTAAAAGTGGGAGAGGGGCTTGCTTAAGTTTAGCTCTTTGATACAGGCTGGATAGATAGACTTGGTCCAACACAGCAGAAACACTGCAGATTTAATGTGGGCCCACATGGTTTACTTTGAATTACATATCTTTTAGCTTGAAATCTGAACAAGACAGGGACCGATCACAGGCAGAAGCAAAGTTGAAAAAAACACCAGTTATTTCAGATATCCAGAAAGATCCCAAGGAGTACTAGATCAAGATGAGAAGGATAAGCAAAAATGCTAGAATCTTCATGTGAGAGAAGCTGCAGATAAAACCATATGCCTCTATTGAAACCCCCGGGGCTATATTCACCACGAACCAACCCACTCACTGATGGTTTTAAATGGACAGATCGCTTATGCACGATTGCCTTCTTGTCCACTGTAGCTCCTTGCAGAAGACGGAAAGACTACTTTTCAAAAGATACAAGATGAATCATTAACCAGAAAGAATATAAACAAGTGGCAAGCACTGGAGATTCCTGGAACACTCTGTTCCTTCCTCTAAGATTTAAAACGAACAAAAAAAATTGAAAAAAAATGGAGCAGAGTCCCAAGTTATCTCAATAAAAAGGACTTAGAACAAATTCTATAAATACCTCATCAGGGGAATAATTTCATAGAGCTAGCTATAAGATAGATATTTTTCATCCCGAGAGACCATTTCTACTGATTGCTCACCTCTGGAGAGACTTCTGCCCATAATCCAAATCTATCAGCAATCATCTGGTGGATTTCCCGCTGCCGATCCTTTTTCCGTACACTCTCATAGCTTGGTAGGTGAGGCTGCTCCCATTGTGGAAGCTGATAGCTACCAGGGCTTCCAACACAGAACAATTCATCTCCCTAAATAGGCAAAGGAACAAAGGTCGTCTTTCAAAAGTTCGGTAGGTCTACAAGATGTTTCCCCCCACGTTTAGTGTGGATATTGTAGGCAAGCATCCACATTAGGTTTACATTGCTTATTATCAAAAAGATGCAAGGTCAGAACCGAGGCTAATGTAACGCTATTGTTCTTTTCCTTTCAGAGTCTATAAACCAGCCTAATCCATTAAACTAAGCAAGTATTCAGAGTATCCCAGCAATATGTAGCAAGAAGATTGGTGCTAATTTATCAGACAGAATAATTTTCTTTCCATACAGGTAGTCCTCGATCTGCGACTACAATTGAGCCCAAAATTTCAGCTCCTAGGTGAGAAAGTTGTTAAATGACCTTTGCCCCATTTTACAACATTTCTTGCCACTGTTGTTAAGTGAATCACTGTAGCTGTTAACACGGTTGTAAGGGGGAATCTGGCTTCTCCATAGATTGCAAAAGGTGATCGTATGACCCCAGGACATTGCAACCATCATAAATATGAGCCAGTTGCCAAGCGTCCAAATTTTAATCAATTGACCACAGAGGTTCTGCAACAGTCATTCAGTATGAAAAATGGTCTTAAGTCACTTTTTTCAGCGCTGCTGTAACTTCAAACCATCACTAAACAAATGGTTGTAAATTGAGGACTACTTGTATACCAGCTATATGTCGACATCTTTCTGTAAGGATTTAAAAACTCTGAATAAAAAAAGAATACTGTGGCAAATAATGATCAGCTTCGGGGGTGGGTGGGTGGGGGAGCAAGGAAGATGATTTAGAGCCAATCTTCCCCATGCACATCCAATAAAACTATTCCTGATCTGTATTTCAGACTGCAGGGAAAGAATACATGAGCATGGAAGACTTCATGTGGGGGAACGGCGGGTGGGGAGGAGAGACAGGGAGGCATTCAGACAATTACAGATAGTCCTTGACTTATGACCATTCGTCCAGCAACCATTTAAAATTCAGATGAATGTGGAGAATGGCTGTCATATTAAAATATGTATTTTTTATTTAGCAAATTTATATAGCTGCCCATTTTACTAAGCATGACTGTGGGTGGCATACAACCAACAACAGTTAAAAACAATATAATAGTACTGTAATACAAATAATAATTGTAGTAATAACACTCCTCTAAAACATCTAATCTTTAATTTTAAGCGTCAAAGGAATCCTTTCAATTTTCACCTTATATTTATCAAAGTTAACTGCATTGAAGCTAAATTTTTCCTAATCTAGTACCACCATATATACATACATACATGCATACATACATACATACATATACATACATACATACATTCATATATATATATACATTCATATATATATATATATATATATATATATATATATATATATATATATACACAATACTCGATTTGCAACCATTCATTTAGTGATGCTTCAGTTAAAAACAGCAATGACATAAATGACTTATGACCATTTTCACACTTAACAACCATTGCATCATTAACCATGGTCACGTGATCAAAAAATCAGACATTTGGCAACTGGCATATATTTATGACAGTTGAAGTGTCCCGAGGTCGTGTGATCATCTTTTGGGAAGCAAAGTCAATAAGGAAGCCAGATTCATTTCACAACTCTATTACTTAACTTAACAAATGCAGTGATTCACTTAACAATTGTGGCAAGAAAGGTCGTAAAATGGGGCAAAATTCACTTAACAACTGTTTTGCTTAGCAACATAAATTTTGGGCTCAGTTGTGATCGTAAGTCGAGGCTTTATATTATAATTCCCATAATTCTCAGCAATCATGATCTGTGGTTATGATGATTGCAGGTAATTGGATCTGTTGCCCAACCAACCTGTCTGGTAGCAGGTTGATTTAGGAAAGGCTGATATAAGCCTTCTACGCTTCTCTGTACAAAATGGTTCAAATGCTTTGCAGCATTCTACATTATAAAGGGAACAATCTAGCAACTTGATACCCAATTAAATAGTCTGTACAGTACTATAAGTTAGCTGAAATGGCCCAGTCTTGAAGTATTGATGGGGCCAGCCAGCTTCTATCATCTTTATATTCAAAGCTGTGTCAACTCTATTAGATTCTTCTCTTGCTACCTAGTGAAAGATTTTATACTACAATGGCAGGCGGCATCTCTGCAGATCCATACTGAACAATGCTTATCTGATGATTACATTAAATGCGTCATTTAGATCAGTGGTCCCCAACCTTTTATCGCCGCGGCCCGCTGAGCGCGCGCAGGGGTGGGGGCACGGCCCAGGAGCTTTTGCGCACGGCCCATTGCGCACGGCCCAGGAGCCTTTGCGCTGCAGCGTTCATGTCCCCTGGCCGCTGCGCGGTGCCAGGTACTCCACGGCCCGGTACCGGTCCACGGACCGGGGGTTGGGGACCACTGATTTAGATCATTTGCAATTTCATAAATATATCCAAATTCCTGCTACGACCGGTTTAGAGGTTAAGGCACCAGGCCAGAAACCAGGAGATTAAGCTCTAAACCCATTTTGGGCATGAAAGCCAGCTGGGCGACGTTCGGCCATTCATACTCTCTCAGCCCAATTCACTTAACAGGAGTTAATAGGAAGAGGAGGAAGGAGTACCGTACTTAGGTATATTTGCTGCCTTGAATTATTTATACAAATAACAAAGGGATTTTAAAAAATCTTTTAAAAATGTAAGCCCTCATCGCAGTCTCTTTCACAAGATAATTGTAAAAGTAAAGGGAGAAAAAATTCAGTAGGCTTTTTGGAGGAAGAACAAGATAATAATTAAACTAATTTTACCACATTCATATGGCTATTCACATACATAATCTTTTCATTATGCTTCCTTTGAGGCCCCATTGCCAAGTTCCTCTATTATGCTCAACCCAACCATCCTTCCCCCCACCCCCATGTGCTCATCTCCTTTTCCAGGTGATCCATCCATCTATCTATCTATCTATCTATCTATATATATATAAAGGGCTCTCCCACCTGGACACCAGGGTTTTCAGCAGCACCTGTCTCCATTCGCTGTGCTCCAGACTGGGATCCCACCAGTCGCTGGTTGCTATTGAAGTAAGAAGGAGGACATTCCTGTAGGATGGGAGGAGAATATTAAAAACAAAAGCTGTGATTTCCTTCTGGAAATTTCAGACTGGAAAAGCAACCTATTACTCAACAGGAACTAGCAAGTGGTCCACAAGAAATGGCTTAACATATTTTTAAATATTTTTAATTGGTTTGTCATTTTAAACTGGGGCCAAATTAATATATATTCTTTTAATTGTTTTTAATGTTTGTATTGTATGTTTTTATCTGGCTGTACACCACCCTGAGTCCCTCGGGAGAAGGTGTGGTATATAAATTTGAAATAAAAGAAATAAATAAAAGAAAAGAAATACTAATTCTACTGAATCCTCTCTGTGGAGCCCATTCTGTGTATTTCACTAAAATGTATGGCGTATGAGTTGGGAAGAAATGGAAACATACATACAAGGCAGGTACACCATTGCAAAATTCCCAAACAACGGCTACTAAATAAAGCCAGCATCCCAAACCAACTCTTGGTATCCTGGTTTTATTCTCTTGAGCTCCTCCCTGTTCTCTCCCCCATACTAGCAGCAGCTCTCAATGAGCTGAGAAATAGTTCCATCACCGAGAATCATAAGGCTGCTCTTGATCATGGAAGCCTCCCTGGAGATATGCTCCCACATCTCTCTAAAGCGTGGTTTTCAATGGGGTGGTGGGAGGAGTCTCCAATCTCTCTTTCTTCAACCAACCAAACCTGAGTGATAAAACGAGATGAAAACGACACATTTCTTGCACATACAGAATCTGATGTGGCTGACTAATCTTACTGGGTGGTGCTCAGTAGTGGGTTTCAAATCCCGTTGCTACCACGCGCAACGCTTCTGTGCATGCGCAGAGACGTCTGGGCAGGTGGGCGGAGCCTCCCGCCACCGCTACCGGTTTGCCCGAGCTGGGGAGAACCGGTAGCAACCCAACACTGGTGGTGCTGTCCAATTATTCCAAAGGGTAGCAAGTAGGTTAGGCAGAGGTTGATAGGCCATCTGCCACCATGGGGCGGGGAGGGGGGGTTGCATGCATGTTCAAAACAGGCAAGATGCTGGATGCAGGGTTGCAAAGCAAGTCCAACCTCTTTGCCCATGTATATGACATCAGTGCCCATATGAAAGAGGGAAGCTTGAATCCTGAGGCCGCATCCACTATCTTGCCGGTTTCAACACCTGCCACTGTGGATGCCAATGGACAGACCACAATTCGCACAACTTTTTCATTCTCCAACAAAAGAGAATGCAGGGAATCTCAGCAGTAATAGAACAGGGCTGTTGTAACTACAGTAAAGCTACCTGGAGGAGTTCCCTCAGTGCCCCAATAGGACGGTGAGCCTTTGTGTGTCTCCACTTTCCTTCTACATTGCTGGAATTATAGTAAAAGGAATGAACTGGAGGGTAGATGGCTGTTTTAGACCAAGTCCCCAGTTGCACAGATAATGGCCTGGCAAACATTTTGCTCGGTCCCCATAATGCTGCCTTCATCCAATATTCAGCTCATGGTGTAAGGCAGGATTATGCAGCCCTTAGCTATACCAGTGCTAAAGTGGCATTTTCCTTCGTATTCCAACACTTTCTAAGGGCAGCCTCAAGTAGGTAAAAAACCCATTAAGCTCTGCCACCCATTATCCAAGAGAGAAATGGGGTGACTGCAGTGAGTTTAAAATGAGGTAGGAGAAGGATCACATGGTGACAATGAATTTCATAGCTGGTATTATTTTCTGCTGGCTCAAGGATGAGTGGTAGGCATTATGCTTGGGTAGAGAAATGCCCCAAGACTGACTGGATTGGCAGAGATGTATGCGTGCCTCTGTGAGCAGCTATAAATCACTTTATATATTGGGAGAAAGCCAGTCTAAATGCAGCAGCATGGGTCAACACTGGTCTCAAACACAATTGTGATAAGAAAAGATGTCCAGAAAGTATTTCTCCTCCCACTTATAGGGAGGCATGTTCACAGGAAGTCCCCCACCAACCAGAATGCTTATTGTCTCCATCTGATCCTCCTTACAACTATGCAAAGTGCCGTTTTTCTTGAGACCAGCTAAAATGTTAAATGCCTCTGAAAGCCAACATTTTCTTTTTCAGACAGCAACGTCTTTTCACTCACTCACTGAGGGGAGCATTTTTTTTTTTTTTTTTTTTTGTGGTATTGAGTAAAACTACACCTGTCTGGATATTTCCACCTGGCAATATGATAATTACAGTAATCCTACTTTCTAGAACAAGGAGAGAACAAAAGCAGGGCTTTGATTGGGTATCGCACCACAGCTACTACTTTTATTCTGGGATTGTTGTTTTCAGGATACTTACATATGTGGGATAATTTTTTTTTTATTTAGTTCGGTTTTGCTGTAACTTTGCCAAATTTGCATAATAAATGAACTAAATTGTACTCCGACCAATGCTGTGGTTTAAAAAAATGGATGCTAGATACAAAAACATATTCTATTAGTATCTTTTCAAATACTTGAAAAAAACATTAGGCAAAGCTCTCTCTCTCTCTCTCTCTCTCTCTCTCTCTCTCTCTCTCTCTCTCTTTCTCTCTCTCTCTCTCTCTGCGGGTTTCTATATTCTCTGAAGTAGAAAAAGATCTGATTCAGACTTCTGGGATCTGCATTATTTTCTATTAAAACTGAGAGCCAGACAGAAATATGATAGAAAAGATGGTTCAGAGGAGGTGAGGAGCAGACATAAAAGTAAATAGGAATGTGCATTTCCAGGGAGTTTGTTTTAATAATGAACTCACAAATGACCTCAATACAGAAGTCCTGGTGATTGCGATGTAATTATGCCACTTAGTTCTGATTACTGAGGGGCAAGTCCAGAGAATACGATTGTTTTCAAGCTCCTCCTGTGTTCTTTCCAGGATCATCTGTCCAACTCAACTGTTTGAGTCTACAACTGCTAGACTAGACAAGTTTTTGATCTGATCTAATATAACTTTTTGTTCTAACATACAACATTCAAAGATTTGTTTCTCCGACTATAGAAAGTGTAAGCCATCTTGATTATTTCAATATTATTTTACTAAACCTATAGGCAGTGTGGTGCCATTCTCCCAAAGGTTTGCATATGCAACTGCATATGTTTGCAATGGCAAAATGATTGTGACTGCATTCCCTCTTGAAGTCCTATCCGAGGAACAATGATCCCATGGGGAGCTATGACTAAAGGAGCCACAGTGAAAAGAAAAGTGAGTCATCTAGTAAAATCCCTATCGCTGGTCCTTCCCAGAGTTTTTCCACTCCCGTCTACTCTCTGCAGGATGATTCCTTTGGGGAGGAGAGTTTTCACTTGATTGCAGTTGAAAGTCCTTTATTGTGAACAATGGGGCAACCCTCTCTGGAGGAAGGACAGGAAATTGTAATTAGACATAGTACTGTAGTCAGTGTGTGACCAGTCACGTTTTAAAGAAATATAAAGCATGAATTTAAATGACTAATAGAGGTCAAAGCCTCCATTTTGCATTTCTCCCCTTTTTCCTAAAATATAAAATTGAGTGCAGAGACCTACTATTTGAAGACAAGTCTTGTCAAGTGGAACTATCAGAAAGCAATATTAGTTTGCCAATTAATCCCATTGCTAAGGCCAGACAAATGAACCAAAAGACTCCCCCCAAAAGCAAAACAAAAACAAAGGACACCACCACCAGCACCCATGAGAAGTTTCATGTTTGGTCTGAAATCTGAATCTGGGATTTGAAAAATAAGCAGAATAAATAACAGAATAACAGAGATGGAAGGGACCTTGTCGATCATCTAGTCTAGGGGTCGGCAACCCGTGGCTCTGGAGCCGCATGTGGCTCTTTCATCCATCTGCTGTCATCCCTGTTGCCGGTTGGTACCACAATTTTGAGAGGAGCTTCTGGTTAAGGGGAGGGGGAGCACGGCGCGCCAGGAAGAGACTCTATGGCAAGGGGCGGGCTTTCCAGTTGGCTCCACAATTGATAGGGCTTTCGGTAAGACAGGTAGAGGAAAAAGGACGCCGCACTAGGAGTAGACTCTATGGTGGGAGAACCGGACTTCCGGGGAGCTCCAGAACTGAACAGGGGGCTTCTGGTTAGGACCTTAGTGGCTCTTTGAGTGTTTAAGGTTACCAACCCTGATCTAGTCCAAACCCCTGCCCAAGCAGGAGACCCTACACCATTTCTGACAGATGGCAATCCAGTCTCTTCTTGAAAGCTTCCAGTGATGAAGCTCCCACAACTTCTGGAGCCAGAAGCAAGAACTAGATATTGGTTTAGGGTAGCGATTACCTCAGCTGCTTTAATATCTATTGGCAGGGAGCTAAAGTCCATATCTTAAATACTGCTTTAGGTTTTGCAAGCGGCATAGATTCACCGGACCTGAGCTCAGCATGACTGCTTTAGGATCACAATAGACCAACATTTTCAAGACAGTCTTACTTTCCTCAGCTAACCAAACTTTTCAGAAACCTTTGTAAATGGGCCTGCAAACATTAAAAAAAGTGGGATCTCTGTACCTACTAAAAAGTATAGTTGGCCAGATAATTCCAAATCAGGCAATAGCTTAAAGGATCCATGCCATGTCTGTTCCTCTCCAAATACTACAGCCTTTAAGAATTCCTGCTCGATTGGTAGCTGAAAATTCTGGAACGTTCCAATGCACACAGAGGACAACAGGTTAAAGAAAAAGTTACCAGGATATGTTTTTTATGCCGGTCTGTTTCAATGTGGTTCATTTGTTTTTAGAAAGGGATCAAAACCAGTCAACCGTGGTTAACTCAGCAAACAATGGCTAAACCAGTAATAGTTCTATGCGTTATTTAAAATAGTGGCTAGGTTTAATCATATAATTAAGTATCAGTATGTTTCCCCTGAAACTGTCCAGCCATTTGATTTCTTATCCAAAATGGATATCCATATGGGTTGGAAGCAAGGGGTGATTTCTTTCCAGGCAACTGATTTTCAAAGAGATGAAGAGAATGGAATCCTTGGGGACATCTATCTAATTACAGGGCATTACAAGCCAAGACAGTTTGATTCGACCTCAGCTTTTGAAACCAAATGAGTGAATTTTGAAAGCTCTAAACATAGGATAAACATAGCAATTAGGCTGATGCGCTTCTTCTGAGAAAAGTAAGCAAGAACCACCATGAGAACTAAATCCTTGGAGACATCACAGGACATGCTCTCCAAGCCAAGATAGTTTGACTCGACCTCAGCTTTTAAAACAAAACGCATCAACTCTGAAAGTTCTAAACAGAGACAAACATAGTTCTTAGGCCGATGCACTTCTAAGAAAAACCAGCAAGAATCACCGTGAGACCTTGACATGCCTTTGCGTATAAAATCAACTAGGATGACCAGGCTAATTGTTATACTTTCACCCTGGAAGCTTTCTTGCCTTGTTGAACAGGAGCGGATGAAGAAAAACAAATGTTGCATGAAGGCAGCCTTTCTACTTACCCTGGGGACATTTGGTAAAGAACTTCCTGAGAAAAAGCTGTCCCAAGAAAGCCTTATCGCAAAACACTCAGCTGAATCATAGATGAGACAGATGTCAGCTGCTTCCAATATATTCTCAAGCAGTTTCTACACAGAATTATACAACACTGTATCTCTAACTTCCATAATTCCATATGATTTAGATTTACTACATAATGATTCCATTCTTCTGAACACAGAGGGGATAACTAAAAACACTACTCTACACTTACTACAGCTGTGGGAGAAGGCGACTTATGTTAAATCACAGACAGCTCTATTGAAACTGGAAACCTACAAGGGGCTGTTGCTGCAACAAATGGGGAAGTATAGTAGAGGCAACAAAGAGAGTAGCGCAGATTCTACTTGCATCACAATTATCTTAGCAACATCTTCTTTGAAATGCAGATTTTTTGGATTTTCAATGTGGATTATAGAAAACTCCAAGATACTTTGCCAAGAGTTGGTAGGACATTTTGTGACATAGGGCAGAAGAGGTTTATTTTAAAGGTCAATCCTGTAACTAAGCAAGGTACAGTATATAAAGGTACCTCTGGATATGGAAATACATACATACAGTATTGCAAGTCAAAATAGGGGTAGGGTGGGGTGGGAGAATGGGAAGAAGGTGCAATGAATCCATCCATTCTAGAATCCTTTTGGTTCCACTTCTTCAGTGCTTGCAAAAAAAGCATTATTAAAAAAAAAAACCAACCACGATGTGCCTCCGCAAAAGAGAGAAAGGGGGAACTCGGGAGAATGTTTTCTTTCAGGCTATCCCCAGTCGTGAACTGTGAAAGGTATAATGCTGGTTGCCGGGATACTGGCAACGGGGAATGGGGTTGTCTGCATTTACGAGTTCCTTACAGGAGCATTCCCTGCTGTTTTCCATCCCTGTAAGGAAAAAAGGAGGCCTGGGGCTGAAAGGGCCAGAAAGGTAAGGAGGGGCACAGTTCTCCTGGCCCCATCATTACCCCCTGACATGACTCGCTCTCAGTGTTACATTCCCATCTGTTCCCATGCTTCAATGCCCGCTCCCGGATAGTACCACCCACTCTCAAAAGCAGCCAACTGGGGACAGGCTCAGGTGAAAAGGCTTTGTTTGTAGACAGAGTGGGAAGTAAACAGGCGCTCCTGGGTGCGCAACACTATAACTTGGCAGGAGAGAACTGTAAATAGACCTTGAGTTGCTATTCAGCCAGCAGAAAGGAAAACTAGACTCCTTTATTCCAAGGGTGAGATGACAACCATGCAAAGGGAGGCCTGCCAAAGACCGTGCAGGGGAGCAGCGTGTGGCCTCCAGTCCTTGCAGAACACAAAGAGGCACGCTCTTTACCCAGGATCAAAAATGGGCGGGGGAACAGCGAGGCCTGGTGGGCAAGGGAAGCTGATGAAACCCGAAGAAGCAGGCAAACTGGCGAGATACTCACATACTGACTAGGGCTCTGGAAGAGTCGGCAAGAGCACAGAAATTGGCAGCACAGAGGGTCCCGGTGGTACAAAAGGAGCAGCAGCACCAAAATGGCCACGATGAACACAGAGGAAGAAACTGCTAACGAAGAAGAGAAAAGGGGAAATACAATGAAACATCTTGTACAGCTTCCAAATACCATCAAGCTCAGAGAAATCTCTACAAAGTATGTGTCTAACTTCAGCCTAGGCTTCCCCAAGGTCTACAACATTTGTCATCTCCAGCCAGCACGGCCTGCTAACAGAAATGGGGAGAGTTGTTGTCCTAGAGCAGGGGGGTCAAACTCAAGGCCCATGGGCCAGATGTGGCCCGCAATGTGGTTGGATCCAGCCCGTGGTGCCATCCTGGAAAATGTAAAGGGCTGGCCTGTGTGGCTTCGGTCTGGTCTACACAGTGGGAAGAGGAAACATGCCAGCAGATTGGGGAGTGATGTCAAGCTGGCCACGCCCACCCAGTCGGCCACGCCCCCACCCAAGGTCAATCACAACCTTGATGCAGCCCTAAATGAAATTGAGTTTGACATCCCTGTCCTAGAGGCTAAAGGTACCTCTAATGCAAATGAGAAAACAAGGAAGTCAAAAGGCCCATAGCTGAAATAGCAAATGTATCACTGCAGCAATAGGAATGCAATCCATAGCTCCAAAGATTATGACTTCTTTAGGAGGGTCTGCACCAGTATCCATACAGGAATATCTGCCCCGATACAATTAGACGTCTACTATGCTTTGAACCCACCCACCCAGACCTCCTTTGCTAGATGCTAATAGCTAACATAAATACAGATCAAAGGTGCAAGATGTAAGTTGAACAGATGCAACCATCTCGTCTGTATCTGCAGGTTTTGGAAACTTAAATTCATCATTTAAACCATGACTAGTCAGAACTACCACCATCTTTCTGTCGACATCTGTTGCAGTTATAAATTCAAGTACTACTTTGAAGCGGCCGTTCTCAAACTACTTAGCAAATTCATCACAAAATAACCCGAGGTGTAAAGGCTATCAAGTACTATTCAGTTGCCCTGCAACATCCCAAAAGAATTAGTTACATTTGATTTTAGATTTGCACTATCTGAATTCCCAATGTATTACAGCCCAAGGTGCATTTCTGTTTCCACAATGCTGAGGAGGGTATTTAGGTACAATTGTTTCAATGGCTCTTTCCATGTCATCAACTCTCCACTAATCCCATGGTCCGCAGCTCTCCCAGTAACAGACAAAGTCCAATCAGACAAAAATCTAAATTAAAGGAAAAATACTAAAAACTAAATTCCCTAATGTCAAGAGAAAGGCAACTCGAGTCTCTACAACTAGACTGAGTGAAAAGACTGGGGCCAAGGGCATGGCCAAAGCAACGGAGGAAAAATCTTTGCACTCAGTCTTTAGCAAGTTGAAGGGAAATACCCATGCGTGGATTGTCGGAGCAGCGATTCAGGAAAATTGATATGATCACCAGCTCTGCCAACCAGGAATCTCATTGAGTATTTAAGAATCCCTTGGATTTTTCTCTATAGGCTATTTCTCTAGAGCAGACTATTCTAATGATGTATTTATACCTTTAGAAAGTATCTGTCATCAGCAATCTAAATACTAGAAGGAAGTCATTTGTTTATGACAAAGCAATTACAGAACTATTGGCTCTTTTCTTTAGCCAATTATAAGAATAGGAATCCAAGATGTCATGGGTTGACAAGGACCTGATATAGGCCCATGGTTGGAATAATAATCATGAAGTCCTGAACCAGTTCCAGGCTTCAACCTGGATTTCAATGTCTTCCTATAAACACTATTGAAGAAAGATAAAATATAAATCTTTCAAACAAAACAAGCAACCAATGAGCAAACTTGTCCATACTTATAATTATGCAAGCTTCCTTAAATAACATTATTTGGGATTCTTTCAATTTATATCTTGCCTTTTCTCCAGGAGCTGATGGTGGTGGCTAAAACATTCCCTTCTCCAAATTCTCCATCACAACAATCTTACGAGATAGGTTGAACACCTAACAAGCTTCTATGATAAAAGGAGACTTGAACCTGGATCTTCCTGGATATTCCCAATCCAACAATGACTTCATTGCACAGCTCGAAAAAAATCATTAATTTTGTAAGTCTCCATAATTCAGTAATGAACAGTGCTAAAATTTCTTCTCTGAAATCATAATCTGACTTTTGATTGCAAGCCTTTGGGAAAGAGACATGTCCGACCATTTTTTTTTTTTTTTTGGTAAGAGACTATTCACAAAGCCAATATTATAAAAACATATATAAATAATAAATGACCTAAGTATCCAGAGAAACTTCTCTACATTTTCAGGGAGCTGCTGTACTAAAAAACAGAATAAGAATGGTGTGACAAATTTGTCTCCACATACTCAATAGAAGCCGTTAGGTTCAACAAGGAATTTGAATAAGAGATAGTGCGTTGTTGAAAAAAAATGAAACCATGATACACTTCCATTGGCATATCATGTTCTCTTCTTGTTCTTTGTGGAGAGGGAACAAGTCTAATTACACAATTTTTCCAAGTTTTGCTCTGCATAGAAAGTCATGAGACTGGGAAACCCGTGTGTCAGATAGCCTACCTTTCTTACAGCTGATAAAAAAATTAAGTTGTTTCCCCAGACAGCCCTAGTTTCCTCACTCTTGACCTTTATTTCTTAATATCTCAAAAGAATTTGCTCTTGTCCATTATCTAATGGGTGGGGTTAATCAGGTGGGACACACTGTTTCGGTGGACATAGTCCATTCCTAGGCACCCCTTCCTTACCACATACTTTTTCAGAGGTTTGTTTATAGCACAATATGAGTTGGGTCATCTGAGGTAATCTGTTAAAATAGTCTGTAAAGTGAAAATGCATAAAGCTATGCTGAGCGATGTTTCTCATTCAACTTCGAGTTTTATTCCTTTCTCCAGCTGTTCTAAATCAAACAAAATAGACTGGGAGGCCCAGTTGTATCAGTTTTGACCACAATGAAACACTGTCTTGCATCTTTAGACTTCATATTGAATGCACCAATAAATAATCCTCTATCTTAAAATTCTAGTTTTCAGGCATAGCTCTCTCTGTCATACTAGGGTTTTTTTCTTCTTTTAATGCAGCTACAGCTGCATTAGGATTTTAGATATACCCTTTAACATTTCTCTTTTAACTGGTGACCTCTAGGTATAGTAAGTTACAACTCCTATTATCTTCAACAGTGCTGGCTGCAAATGATATCAACAACATGGATTGCATCAGGTTGGGGTAGGCCATCCTAGGGGTTAGGTCTACTGATAGGAGTATGGGGAGATTGCAGTCAAAATGTTTGCATTGTGAGACCAAACTGCTCTTCTTAAATCTAAAATTATTTCTGCTATTTATAAGTTTTGACCCTTCTCCCAAATTACTTCTTCATTCCTGGATTCTAATGTAGAAAGGAAAAGAAGAAAGAAAGAAAAAGAGAAAGAAAGAGAGAGAGAGAGAGAAGAAAGAAAGAAGAGAGAGAAGAAAGAAAGAGAAAGAAAGAAAGAAAGAAAGAAAGAAAGAAAGAAAGAAAGAAAGAAAGAAAGAAAGAAATTACCAGGTTTTGCTTTACCAATTTCTTCTCCCCTTAATCCCTGCCTCTCCCTTTTCCTTATTCTTAGAACATAAATTCGTGGGCAGGCCTTTCTTTATTCTACTCTACATAGTGCTCAGTAAGAGGGAAGCATTTGACAAATAATTGAGTGAAATTTCTGTATCTCACATAATGAAGTGAAAATATCAGCAATTAAATAGTTGTTGAATGCAGAGGACTAAGCTTCCAGCTTTTAGAATCTGTAATTCTACTGAATGTTTACTTCCCAGCAGTCCCATTGGCTTTTAAAGGACTGGAAATAAGGAGCTCTGGATGGTGGACTTCCTCTCTTTATTTTTGCATGCCCAGATTTCTACCACCTGTAAAGATCAGATGACAACATTTCCTTCCTGCATAAAATACGGTATTAAGTTCTCAACTGTAATCTGTTTCTGTAGAAGTTCATTAAAGGTAAAAAGGATCCCCTCGCACATATGTGCTAGTCGTTCCCGACTCTAGGGGGCGGTGCTCATCTCCGTTTCAAAGCCGAAGAGCCAGCGGTATCTGAAGACTTCTCCATGGTTATGTGGCTGGCATGACTAAACACCAAAGGCGCATGGAACGCTGTTACCTTCCCACCAAAGATGGTCCCTGTTTTTCTACTTGCATTTGAACTGCTAGGTTGGCAGAAGCTGGGACAAGTAACGGGAGCTCATCCCATTACGCGGCACTAGGGATTCGAACCGCTGAACTGCCGACCCTTCTATCAACAAGCTCAGTGTCTTAGCCACTGAACCACCACATCCCTGATAGAAGTTCATTAAAATAGGCCAAATACCACTAATGGCAGCTCTTAGGTTAATCTAGCAGTTTCACTTTAGCTAAATTCCACTTGGTTCCATTTTCACAATCTGATGTCTTCACATATATTGGTCTATGACTCTTAATATTTTTACAGGTAATCCTCGAATTACAACAATTCGTTTAGTGTGTTTGAAGTTACAACGGCACTAAAAAAAGTCACTTATGACCATTTTTCACATGTATGACCGTTGTAGCATCCCCACATGATTTACATTCTGATGCTTGACAACCGACTCAAATTTATGACTGTTTGCAATATCCCAGAGTCATGTGAAAAGCATCCTTTTGCAACATTTTGACAAGCAAAGTCAATGGGGTAGCCAGATTCACTTAACAACTGTGTTACTAATTTAACAACTGCAGTGATTCACTTAACAAATGTGGCAAGAAAAGTCGTAAAACGGGGCAAAACTCACTTAACAAATTTCTCACTTAGGCTATTTTTCTAATTAAAAATGTTAATTTAATCCTCCTGATTAGGGACTTCATGTGTAGAAAACTGATTTTAAATAACCTGCATCAAATATGGCTAGATAAAGCAAGTAAATAAAAAAAAAAAAAACTTGGTATTTATTTAGAGCCAGTGGAGTCAGCAGAATTCTCACCTGCTTTGTATTTATTGGGATTTTATTAGTTTAAATTAGCTTTTCTGATTTGCTCTGGAAGAACCTGATTGCTCAGCACTATGTTCGTGTTGCAAGCAGGATCAAATTAAATTATAAGTCCCTGAATAATTTTATTTTAAAAAGCCAATTCACCAATGTTGATTTGGCAGGATGGAGAACAAAGCCAAGACTATCAACATGAAGTTCAACCAAGATTAAAGTTCTGCTTTAAGATAAAACAGATAAATAAGACTGGAAGCAATAGCCCCTGGACTAACATCGATGCATGTGGGAAAATACAGTGGTCAAAAACACTTGAGCAAATCTATATTGCACCATCACAAGTAGAGCACTTAGGAGGATTTGGCCAGTTGACTCTAAAGTACCGTGTCCAATTTGGGTCACCAAAGTTTAAGAATATCTTATTCATCCGTCCATCCATCCAGCCAGCCAGCCATCCAACATTATCTCCAAATAGCATAAGTGAGATCAGCAGCTAGTGAGCTTCAGGGGAAAATGAGGGCTTGAAGTGAAACATGACAAGGGCCTTATTGACTAAGAAAAAAAGGGAGAATTTATGCTTAGCCAGAAGATATTCTAAAGTATGTGTCACATAAATAAGTAGAAAAATGTTTTCTTGCACCTAAAAGTTCTGAACTTTAATCAGTTCAAATGATAAGGGAAAGCATCAGGGTAAACACGAGAAAGAATTTCTTGATCCAAAGCAGTTTGTGAATAGATGGCTACCTATCAGGAGTGCTGTAGAAGTAGACTTCCTGGGTTGACAAAACATTGGACAAGATGACCTTTGAGGTCTCTTCCAACCCTCTATTGTGTTTGCTACACAGATGTGATTCATACATCACATTAAATTCTGATGTACTGAAGTTGGTTTGATTTTAGCTTCACATGTTTTCAAACCCAGGCTTCAAAGTTTATGGTTTAGGATGCAATGGGAATCCTATTAATTGAACAAAATAAACCAGGGAACCTTGCAGGACACATCTGGGACAGGAGATAGGGCAAAGAGATATATGCTCAAGTGACCCTGAATGTAGCTTTGGGCCTCTGGAGAGATCTTGGGGTAAGAAATGTTCTGAATGTTCTGAATGTTCTGAAACCAAATTCTGCAGTGTTATTTCAATACATTTGGTGGGAATGGAGGAGAGGGTGTTTTTAAGTAGCTATATTCAAACTGTGAAACTCTTTATCCTGGAAAATATATTTAATACCAGCTGTCATCACTAGCCTACTTTTATCTATTGGGCAGGTTAGGTTTCTCCAATTTATCTAGTTATTTCTTTGCATGGTTGTTTTTAATACTGTCCTTTTTGTTTTTATTTATAAGTAAGCACAAATTTAAAAAATAACATTTCATGAGAATTATAACTTGTGTTTTTAACACTGTTCTTAGTTATTCTACCTTATGTATTTTGGGGCATTTTTTTGATTGAAAGGTAGCTATACTTTGTTTGAACAATCATGAAAAGTTCCTAAAAAAGCAAAAAACCAAACCAAAAAAAACAACAACCCTCCCCCCCACTTCTAAAGATGGATAACTTTGACAATATTTGTGGTTAGTTGAGACCATAAGTATCACAGGATACTGTCACACTTTGAAACCCCAAGATATATTTTTTTTATAAAATGTGATCAAATGCTCTTCATTCTACTTTCTGAAACAAAATAGGCACAACAAAAAAGGATGCAAGGGACAGGATGTCTACAATTAGGGATCCCAGAATTATTTAGATAATGGAAGAATATCTAATTGTTATTTGCTTAAAAATGTCTTTACATTTTTTTAAATTAGTGTGGATAAAAACACAATTTGTTATAGCAGATGTATAAATGTATGGCTTCCAGAGATTACTGAAGCACAAGTCCTTACATCCTGCATCCCATTGGCCAACCGACTACCCCTGCTCCTTTCTCTCATGGAACTATAGAAGTGTGCAAGACTGAGTTTCAAAAATGTCTACCCGTTAGTCAGAAATATTTCAGTGGCTTTCAAAATATAAATGCATCTATTTTGATTTTGGTTTGATAATACAAAGCATTATACATAGGTCTCCAACGACACATTTGTATGCAAAGAAAATGCATAAGACAAAAGCAAATGTTGGGTGCCCTAATTGCAGCCCTAAATCATTTGATTTTGATATTTTTCTTAATAAATGATACAGCACAGACTGTTCCTATGGCAAATATGTCAGCAACACATGGCTCCATGATGACTCCTGATCAATTTGTCCAAAGGCTGAGGCAATTTCTGAAGTCAACAGTTTGATAACGAATCACATGGCATATTATAAACAGTTTATGGCTTCTAATGATTTTTCTTATTTTTCAAAAGGTTTTTCTTATAATGTTTTTGGTTGTTTTGTTGCATTGTATTTGTGTTATTAACTTTGTACTCTACTCAGAGTCACATATGTGAAATTAAAATTCCCTGCCAAGGAGCTACAAAGATTTCTCCCCATCTTCTCACACAAGACACAAGACAGCACCATGCACAACGATACTAGCTAATTCACACATTATACTATGCCTCAATGTGGCTTGGTTTGATCTGGGTTCAGTGCCAAATAGCAGCAGTCAACATCTTAATACCATGTGTGTACCTAGCAGACTGTGATTAGTGAGCAAACCAGGATCAAATAAACAATGGCTTAGTACAACATTACTTCTGCAACTGAAATCTGGGTTTGCTTCTGGAACCAAGATAAACAGAATATTATATCTGTAATTCAGCTTTCCTCAATCTTGATTCCTTTGACGACGAGCCTGGGAATGCTGGGAGTTGTAGTCCTAATAACCCTGGAGAGCATTTACTTAGACCACTTTTCTCAAAAAGTCACAAGCACTGCAGCACAGAAGAGCCCAGTTATAAACTAACCCTGTGCATGCACAGAGAGAGGGAGAAGAGAAGACAAGCATGGCTTTTGGCAACACAATGAAGTGGGAGGAAAGGCAGTGGAGTTTTCTACATTCCTGAACAGAATCGAAGGCAAATACATCAATCTCAAAGGGGAAAAAAAGAAAAGAAAAGGAGGGTGAGGGACAGGCGTGCAAATACTCACTGGTAGCTATAATAATGGCCACTATATTACTGTCCATAGGAACAGTGTCGGCAGGTGTGGAAGTCTGGGCCTCGCTTAGCTCGGTCATCGCCGGAATCCACCGCCTTCTCCGAGCTCTCTTCTAGGTTGGAGGCTCCACATGGAGGAACCACCTGCCGGACCCGCGGCTCTTGGGATCAGTCGCCGCCTCGTCTTTTCAACAATCCGGCCAGCTACAGTCTTTTCAGTCCGCCCCTAGTTCCTTCTGGCTTCTTCTCTTTTTTCCCCCCTCTCAGGCTGCTCCTCGGATCAGTGCAGTTCAGGAGCGGCTGGGTGCCACCCCCGCCTCTCCTATTGTGCCTGGTGATCCCGCTCGCCTCTCCTTCTATTTGCATGCTCCGCTTCTGATAAGGAGATTTCTGGCAGGCCGAAGGCCGGTTCCGTGTCTTTTTCCTCCGGAGCGGGCCTGATAGCAGAACATCTGGATCTCTCTCGGAACAAGCGGTTATTTTTTTCTTCTTCTCCGCTCCCTGACAAAGGGTAGGTTGTTCCGAAGGCGACTGCAATCGGATTAGTTTCTTTTTGCAGCCGGTTCGGTTGCAGAAGAAAAAAAAAAAAAAAAAAAACTACCGCGGATACTTTTCGGATTATAGTTCAGTTCTCACATTCCGTAAACACCTATAATTTATACAATGCCTTCGGATTACGTTCTGTTGACCCGTTTCAATGGAAATCACTCAAAATGCTTTAACCCTTCTGGGCTGGGAATTGCCCTCCCGGCATTCCCAGCCAAGTACCAAAATATTTTATTAGGGGGGATGGGATGCCGTGTTCCCCCCAAAGGCTATTTCAGAGGCTTCGATCCCGGTAGGAATTACCAAAAAAAAAAACCCACCACACCTCCCTCTCCCCTCCTCCCTCTACCTTAGACTCTGGGATATACGAGTCCCGCGCTAGCTTTACCGAGAGCTCTTAGCTCTGTCGCCTTATTGAGCCTATCTTCTAGGCTTCGCTCCTGATTGGTTACTGGTGGAACGCTCTCCATCCCGATTGGTTCAAAGTGAGAATCGCTACATTCTCGGGATAGAACATTGTGTCGGCGGTCGCCATAGAAACTGTGGACCCGGAGAGGGGAAGCGAAAGGAACGTTCTCCCTCGCCTCCTCCTCCTCAGGCAGTTCATTATCTCTCTCTCTCTCTTTTTTTTAATATGCAACGTAATTTCTCACTCCCCCGGGTTATTGGCCTCTGGCTGCCTAAAGTAAGAAAACCAAGCAGAAGTACAAACTTTAACGGGACAGTTGGGAGAACGTTTTAGTAGCTACAATTATCTTGGAGGGTGGGGAATGCAAATCTGTGGGCTAATTGCTACACGGTAGGGAGTTTGGTTAAAATGAGGCAATATGGTATAAAAATGTGGGGATACTTTTATTTGGCATTCATACCCGGAACATATTAAAGCCATATTAAGTCTTTGATATTAATTATGCAGCTCGTAACCAATGACAACGGTCATGTTATTACAAGCCTAAAGTGATCTCCAAATTTAAGATAGGAATTTTCCCAATTGCAATGCCCGGGAACTGAGCTTGCCCTGTGATCTGAATTACGGCCTTTCTCACAGTGGTGCATATTGAGAGTGACCTTCAGGTCATCTATTCCGCATACCAATATTTGGGGGATAAAAAAAGAGATGAGTTTTTGATAAACACATGAATTTTAAAAAGCTCCTTCCGTGGTTTTTGGAGATACTTTATAGGGGTTTAAAATTAAACTGTAATTGTAATTACATTTAAATTTAAAAAATCATTTCCCCCACTTTTTGTTCAGATTGCGAATAACCTTTTACCCTTGCTTGGCCTGTTTTCTGAAATGCAGCTATGGAAAGCCAACTCAAACTTTGCTGATCCTTGCTCCATGTTCCTTAAGAATGGAAATAACTTTTTGTCCTTTTACTTTTTACAATTAAAACTCATTCTGGCCCCACAAAGTATTGGAGATGGTAGACTTTGAGTTTTTAGTGAGGAGAGAAAAACAAAGGTTACCTAATCAGTATCTGCAATGGTGCATTCTTCATATTAGTTGAACTATAGATTCTCATCACCCTCAGACATGTTAATTAGAATCATGAGATGCCAAACAAAATGAACTATAAGTGAAAACAAATTGTTGGGTTCTTGGTACTCTCTGAGGTCTGCTCTTTCCTTGGAGATATTTCATTACCGGGCAAGTTTACATCAGTGTGAGAGAGTATGGAGAATAGCTTTATGGATGCTTACTGATGGCTGAATTGTCTGAATATCAAGCTTCCAGGATTTCCTGATATTTTTGGATTCAACTGGATCTAAAAGTGATGAAATCCAAATTTTTTTACCAACGATTCTGTGAGCGTGGCTTGGTGGGGGTGGTGTGGCTTGGTGGGCGTGGCAGGGGAAGGATACTGCAAAATCCCCATTTCCACCCCACTCCAGGGGAAGGATATTGCAAAATCTCCATTCCCACCCCACTCCAGGGGAAGGATATTGCAAAATCCCCATTCCCTCCCCACTCCTGGGGGAAGGATATTGCAAAATCTCCATTCCCACTCCACTCTGGGGCCAGCCAGAGGTGGTATTTGCCGGTTCTCCAAACTACTCAAAATTTCTGCTACCGGTTCTCCAGAACCTGTCAGAACCTGCTGGATTTCACCCCGATCTAAAATGTACAGTTTCCCAGATGAAACTGGTTGGGTCTGTTCATGTGTTGCAAGATGAATAGACATACATAATATGTCAATAGACAGATAAATCTCATTTACTTGCCAATTAAACAAATATAATACAAAACCTAGAAAGAAATCGAAGAGCTTAGAATAGGATTCCTCCAGCATCCAATACCCAGATAAGCAGGAAAAAGTACTAGCAATCAAGGAAGAAACAATACTTTTAATCAAGAGCCATCCATCGAAGAAGCCACGCCATCACTAAATCTGGCAGGATAGGCTACTATCTATAAACAGCAAGGAAACCTCATTCTCCCTCATACTGATGATGGTGCCTAGATTAGTAATCAAACATCTACAACTCCAAGAACCTAACTGATCCATCCTAAACTACACATGGAACAAGTCAAAATTAATATATTAATATAAAATTTAATCAAAGCAGAAGAGGAGGCCTGGGACTAAAAGCAAATTCCAAGGGCATGTGCTCCATAGCTTGGAAGTGATTCCAAGCTTTGCTGTTTCTGACAGTTGGCCATCTATAAACAGAGGCATATTTAAAAGGGTCTCTCCTTCAGGACTTAAATTTCTGGAGAATTTCATAAGGATAGAAGGAGCCCCTGAGATAATCAATCCTTAACGATTTAGAGATTTAAATATATTCTGTTCTCTGACCTGACTTGCCTGGATATACATAATCAATTCCAATTTACCTGATAAAATTAATGAGTATTCATAGCCTACTTCAGAGCTGCAGATCATGAATAGCTGAACAGATTTCTCCAGTATAATATATTGCTAAAATAATCTTAACCAAAATTAGAACTTTGTCAGATTGAAAATTGATGAGCGGGAACAAATTCATTGCAGAGACAGATAATTGATACAGAGGCCGATGATGGTTTGATAGAAAGCTGAATAGACAGCAAAGGTTTAAATTTGCTTCCATCAGCTAAAGCTCGCAGGTCAATGTTTGCACTAGATATTATATATGATCTAAAGCATGATCTTGCATGCTAAACCCTTTAGCCTTTCCTCATGATGATGCATGCCTTCCCTTTAGTAAAGATCGTTTTGATAGCATGTGTCCAAGAAGCTGATCTGCTAGCTCTGTTAATCTTCTTTGCCTCCAGCACGTTTGACAATACAGGTAGTCCTCGCCATACGACCACAATTGAGCCCAACATTTCTGTTGCTAAGTGAGATGTTTATTAAGTGAGCTTTGCCCATTTTACAACCTTTCTTGCCAGAGTTGTTAAGTGAATCACTGCAGTTGTTAAATTGGTCACACAGCTGTTAAGTGAATCTGGCTTCCCCGTTGACTTTTGTTTTTCAGAAGGTCACAAAAGAGGATCACACTGCAACTGTCATCAATACATGCCAGTTGCCAAGTGTCTGAATTTGGATCACATGACCCTGGGTTATGGCAACGGTTGTACATGTGAAAAATGGTCACAAGTCCATTTTTTCGGTGCCGTTGTAACTTTGAACTAAATGAACTGTTGTAAATCAAGACTACCTGTACCAATGTGGTTTGTCACTGCGTTTTTGAATGTTTCTCTAAGTTCCTAATCTAGTCTACAACTGTAGACCTGATTCTGTTCAACAGGCCTGACCTAAGTCCTAGTATTACCGTATTTTTCGGAGTATAAGACGCACCGGACTATAAGATGTACCTACCTTTTTTGGTGAGGAAAAGAAGAAAAAGAAATCTGCGTCTGCGCAATTTTGCCTCCTTGCAGCAAACAGCCTGCTTTACTTTCATTTTCGTTTTCAGCATAGCTTGATTAGCACAAGGGAAAAAAAAGTCTGCTCCAGCAATTTTCTTCCTTGCAGCAAACAACAGAGGCCTGCACAAAACTCCTGAGAGCAAAACAGCTGAGAGTCGGGAGGCAGATCCAATCAACTTGTGCTAATTAGGCTATGCTGAAGCTGAAAGGAGCTGTTTTTTCTTGCTTTTGCTTGCAAGGAGGTAACTGCTGCGAGGCAGAGGCCAAAGGGTGGGGGCCAGTGGGTGGGCGGGGCTACATTCAGTATATAAGACACACCTAAATTTTCACCCCCTTTTAGGGGAGAAAAAGGTACATCTTATGCTCCAAAAAATACAGAAGTTGCTTAATGGTCCTAACAGAGCTAACCAGGTTCAGCACCTGCAATTTACTCAATAAATCAAATGTTTATTGTTCTTAGTAAAGAAATCTAGCTTGCTTATTATAGTGAGTCAATACTACATCTTGATGCTTCCTGTTCTTTGCTCACAATAGAGAAGTCTAATACAAAGGCATAAGAACAGCCTGGAAAAGCAAACAAGTCTCCATTCATTTGCTTTATAAGGAAAAGATTGTACTGGTTAGCACAAGAGTAGTAGCCTGTAGTACAATGGACTAAAGCACTGTTATTAACATCTGCTGCTTGCAATTACTGCAAGTTCAAATCTCACCAAGCTCAAGGTTGACTCAGCCTTCCATCCTTTCAAAGGTAGAAAATGAGGACCAAGATTGTGGGGGCAATAAGCTGACTTTGTATAAATATACAAAAATATGAAGGGTATTGCTTAATGCATTGTAAGCTGCCCCGAGTCTCCGGAGAAGGGTGGCATATAAATTAAAGCAAAAAAACAAACAAACAAAAAAACACACATACACACACACAAAAGAGTGCTCTCTCTATATATTCCCAGTTTGAGGAAAATCGGCTGATACAAACTGGGCACAGGTATTTGCTCTTGAACTACTGTTGTAGTTTAGTACACCCACATAAATTAATTACTGTCTACCTCATCAAAAGGCCCCAGACTGGACAGCACTGATCTCAACTACACTGAGCTTGATAGATCAAAGGTCTAAATTACATAAGGCAGTTGCACTTAGTCTGAATGTTATCAACGTCAGAAGCATTCTGATAAGAGGGGGAGGAAAGGTTACAGCAATACTGTGATAACAAAGTTACGGATGCTGACCATGAATAGCTCATGGTTGGCAGGAGAGCTACAAAGGCAGGGCAGCTGAAGAGAATAGAGGATAATGACTTGAAAAAGAGAGTTGGGCCTAGTAGATAGGAGGCACAAACAGAGAAGGAAAAACTCTATTTACATTCTGTAATGTACTAATCATCTTTGGTTGCCACCATGTAAGAAAAGATCTTGACCCCCCAGAAAGAGCACAGAGACAAGCAACAAAGATGATTAGGGGAAGGGATGCAAAAACATAAAGAACAGTTGCTGGAATTGGGTATGTCCGGTTTAATGAAAAGAAGGACCGGGGTGACATGATAGCAGTGTTCCGATATCTAAGAGGTTGCCACGAAGGAGAGGGGGTTCAACCTATTCTCCAGAGCATTTGAAGGCAGGACAAGAAAGAGTGGATGGAAACTAATCAAGGAGAGAAGCAACTGAGAACTAAGGAGACATTTCCTGACAGTGAGAATAATTAATCAGTGGAACAACTTGTCTCCAGAAGTCATGAAAGCTCCAACACTGGAAGTTTTTAAGAAGAGATTGGACAACTTGTCTGAAATGGTATAGGGTTTCCTGCCTGAGCAGGGGTTGGACTAGAAGACTTCCGAGATCCTTTTCATCTCTGTTATTCTGTAGTCTGTATTCAGTTCTTTGATTTGACATATGAGGGTCCATTTACTAGTTGAATTGTGATTTCTCAATTTAGTAAGTATGGCTTCTAATATTTGCCTTTATAACCCAAAAAAGTTGTTTTTGTAACCCAAGATGTTAAACTAATTAGTGATTATAATATTTAAGAACCTCATGGCCCATCATCACTACAGCCATAATGATGCAACCATTACATTACAAAAAAGCTGCTGTATATGACATATTGAGTAGACAGACTTCTTCTTGGTGCAAATTATTCAGGGCATCAATCTGGCTGCAGGTTCCATCAGGCCATAGAAACACACCTTCATATAATTATATATCTGATCTTCCCCATACAAATGCATGAAATAATTTTAATTCCCTATACAAATGCATGAAATAATTTTAATTCCCTATACAAATGCATGAAATAATTTTAATTCCCTATACAAATGCATGAAATAATTGTAAGACATATTTGCTGTTTTTCCTTTGTAGTGTTAAAAATGGTGCCCAACTAGTATAAACAGCTGACAATGAATTGTAATTCTGTGCCATCAAAAATTAATCAAGTTACCATCATATTTTACAAACACTTTAAGCTGGAAATAAAGGGGGAAGGGTGGGGGGGTGAAAATGTTTGTATTTTTCATAAAACTTTTCAATAAAAAAAAAAAAGCTGGAAATAAGATAAAAAGCAAAGCTAGAAATGGAGTTTGGTCAATATTATGCCCGGCTAATACCCTCAATATCATACAATATTATCTTGGAATAAACTAAATAGGGACAAACATTACCTATGTGGCTTTAGAATTTAACGCTGCATTTTCATAAATATATTTTCTTTTAGATTTACATTTTTCTTGCAGAGGGTACATGTAAAAAAAGCAAAAAGAGTACGGGAAATTGATACAGAATACCGAATAAGAGAGTTGGAAGGGACCTTGGAGGGCCTCTAGTCCAACCCCCCAGGAGACCCTATACTTAAAGAAAATCCTCTTGAGTCCAGGTTAGTGTACATGACGTCTATTTGATTTTATAGCAAAGGACTTAGACAATTTAAAAAAAATCCCTCAACTCATTGGCTGGCTCTATATATTACCATGATTTTCTGATAGTTAAGGCCTCCATTGAGTGATATATGACACCTAAGCATGTCTATGTCATTTTTTTGACAAAAAAACCCCAAAAACAGTTTGCCACTGTTTTCTCTGGATGTTATTTTGACTTGCACGCCCAGATTATAGTTCTGGTATTCCCCATTGGTATGAGATCCTAACAAATAATCCAGCTAGATTTCAAGATCAGTCACAATCAGCTAAAAGATCATGATTGCTGCTGTTCTTCAATTGGGTCAGCTCTAAATTGTGATTTTTCAAACTGCAGCAACTGGGTTTGCTTAATAAACTCAAATCCAGCCTAAACAAAGTCATTGCCAGGATGGGCAATTATACAGATTGAATGAATACATATGAAGCTATGGAAGTCTAGTCATTCTTTTGCATCTTTGTTTCCAAATGAAAGAGTGTTTTAGTCCTACTATTCCAAAAGTCTCCGTGTGGCTATTTCATCTTTTCCCTCAATAGATTTGTTTTAGTTTATTTTATGGAGATAAAATGTCACAAGCAAGAAGGTATGAAAAGGTGGGACACTTCTAAACTGAAGGTGATGCTTTGAATCCATGTTCCTCTCCACCACTCTTTCCAGCTGCCCAAAGTTTCCATCCATGAAGGAATTGCAACTGCAAGCCGACTCCAGTATCTGCAAACACTTCTAGTAGGATGTCTATGGAGATTCTCAGTCATCCAAGTCATGGTTGTCCCAAAGGTGCTTTTTCAAGAGACAACTGGACTTTCTGGTTTTCCTTTGAAGACGTTTCGCTTCTCATCCAATAAATTTTTCAGCTCTTCTTCAGAACTGAAGAAGCTTCTTGGATGAAAAGTGAAACGTCTTCAAAGGAAAACCAGAAAGTCCAGTTGTCTCTTGAAAAAGCATCTTTGGAACTTCTAGTAGGTGTTTGCAGGCAATAAACCAATGAAAGGGAGCACTGACTTTCCTTGCCGTATGAAGGATCCAGTACAGAGGCACACTGTGATCAAATTCAAGCATTGGATCTTCATAAGATCCACTGAAACCATCCCGGGCATGGATCTGAGAGTACTGTTGCTATGTGTGCCTTAAGAAACAAAACCATTGAGTTTACAGCCAGCACTCTCGCAACACTCACAGATCAGTCCCATAATTTAAAGGCTTGAGCATACAGACAGCAAATGAAGGCTACAAACCCAGCCTTGTTTTTAACATCACCCCACCACCACCACCACTTCCCATACAATCAGCCAGCCAATGAAAATAAATTTCCCTGATGCTGTTTCGAAGTCTACTTACTGAATGGTTTGGAACAATGCCATATTTATTCAATCAGCTCTCATTAGGTTCATTAAAAGAACGTGATAATATCAGAAGGTAGAAAGCCTCGGCGGAGAGTATGATAGTATAAGGGGAGATGGTGAGCTTAATCACACCTGACAGCTCTATACCAGCATTTATGCAAGTGGCCTTTAAGCACTCAGCAAAGATTAGTTCATTCATCTCCTTTGCAATGGGAGGATAATGAACTCATTCAGACTCTGCAAACACTGTAACTTTGCAATCCAGCAAAGACCCCTTCAAATTATTGATACGCTCTTTATCAGCAGATTCTACAAATACTTCATTTTCTGCATTGCTCTCCACTGGCATAATTACTAACTTTGATTTCATCTGGCATCCAAATATAAGCAATGGCTGCTTTAATTATCCCGAATCCCATCCCAAGTCCGCTTACTTGCAACAACTGAAGATACAGTATGTAATAAAATTAAAAACAGAGGCTGCGATCCATCCGAATTTGACTGCTAAAAACTTTGCTCAAATTTAGCCACGTTGCTGATGAAATCATCTTGCCCGTAACCATGAGAATTAGAAACTTTTAAAAGGGAAAGCACAAAATCTTTTTTGAAATCAGCTTGTCTGTCAAATGCAGAGGTGGGCTGCTGCTGGTTTGGACCAGTTCGCCCATACCGGTAGTTCCAACCACGCACCCCGGTGCTATCCTACCCTATATATCTCATCCTCTGGCTCGCTCACGCCACCCATGCAGCCCAGCTGATTTCCATGCCTCTCCCGCTCTACTCACTGCGGCTGTGTGTTGGAAGCCGCACGTATGAAATCACCATGTGTTTGAAGCCGCATGCAAGGTGCGCACGCTCACATTTTTGGCAAATCGGTTAAATTATGTGAAGCCCACCTCTGGTCAAATTGTTCCATACAATGTACACTCCAGAATCTTGCTTTGGACAAAATTAATTTTTGAATAGGAATATACTATCATCCCAAAGATGCTTTTTCAAGAGGCAACTGGACTTTCTGGTTTTTCTTTAAAGACGTTTTGCTTCTCATCCAAGAAGCTTCTTCAGCTGCAAATCAACTCTTCTTGGGTGAGAAGTGAAATATCCTCAAAGAAAAAACAGAAAGTCCAGTTGCCTCTTGAAAAAGCACCTTTGGAACAACCATGTCCTAGATGACTGAGAATCTCCATAGACATTTAGGAATATATGATAAGCAGATAATGTGGAAGAATTATATAATTTCAAAACATCTGATCTAGCCTAACGAATTTCACCACAGTATGTTATTTAGGGCTTAGGGGGTTGTCTAAATCTTGCAAAGTAATCCAGATCTGTAAATAAAATGCAAATTGAGAGTGAATTGCTTAATTAGCATTTAATTGACTAAACAAGTTAATATTTCAATCTTCCTCAGCCTAGCATCTTTCAGATATGTGGACATTACTTCTCGAAATTCACAGCTATTTTGGTAATTCCTCAGAATCCAGAGACGTGAAGTCCATTCATCTGGAGGTAACAAAATTGCAGAGGACTGGATTACCTGTTTAAAGATGATTAAATTAGGACTACTGGATCCAGATTGCAAAAATCTGGACAATCATTCATTGGCAGCACAAATTGCAAGAAAAGTATAGTATTCTGAGTGTCATTCAGTGAATACCCAGGTTTTTAAAAATGTACCCTGGGTTTGGGGATCTTAATTAAATAAAGCTAGTAAAGAACTGTATGGACAACTCAGAGAAAGAGGAGGAAGGAGTGACACATCCTGTCCTCCTAGAGTCACAAAGTTTGTCTGGTGTTAAGAGTTTAAGCTGGTAACAGCCAATGGGTGCTAGATTAATTCTTCCTTCCAGCAAAGGTAATAGAATTTTTGGGAAGCCAGTTTTTAGCCACTGGAATACAGTCTCCTTTTTCCTGTTCTCCCAGTGTTAGCCTTCTAATACCTTTATTAGAGCAGGTTGTTTTGCTACTGATCCCCAGCCACCCCGCAAAACACAATCTGATATTTCTTGAGTGAGTCAAGGAAATCAACTGCAAGAATTCACACTCTTCACACTGTAGAGATATACCGTAGATATATTTGTGTTGCATATATAAGACAACTTTACATAATGCTCTGACACCACATTTTTCAGCACTCATTCTTTGGAAAGGGTTGCAGCTGACGCTTTGCCTAGTTATTCCTCTTTCAGCACAGTACACGGAAGAAACTTTGGGAGTCCCTTTTCCAGGTTGAGGTACTACTCTTTCCCCAGCCCCACAGTCTATGCTACGTGTGGCGGAACTGATCCTAACCAATTGTGTTGTTGTTCTGCCATACCTCATCAACGAGCATTTCCATTTGCTTTGTTTCTTTTTACATCAGTGCAGACTTTAAAACGGAAGGGTATTTTTAAAACCAAACAACCCCGGTCATCTACGCTTTTGATCCAGGAAGTTAACCACCTGCAGGTTTTGAAAAGCTTGGATCAAAACCTGAGACCAGAGTCCTTTTAAAACCTTTCTGAAGTTGCTTCAGAACTTCAGCTGGAGATGGAGAGTGGGGGATAGGCCCATTCTAAAATCCCTTTTCACAGGCACTCATAACTCCACTCTACATGAAATCATTTAAGTGCCCATGTTGTTCTCCCAATGGCAGACTACAGCTTCCATCATTCTTAACCCCTGGCCATGTTAGCAGTCTCTTATGAAAGCTGGAACTCAACCATTTGGGAAGAGATCAGCTCTCCACCCCTGACCAGTATATTCTGATATGGCACACATTAAAAATATTCCAAAGAATAATTTGGAATATTTAATAATTTAATAATTTCTTAATACTTCCCCTCCTCCAATAGCCATTAGGAAAAGACAAGCTCAGACACTGTTGGCCCCAGTTCAACTGGGGGTGGTTCACTCAGTTTTCTGGGATGCATCTGAAAGAGCAGATCAGACCAAGAAATATGTTTAGACATTGGACAACATTCAGTACAGAACAGCATCACTCTCTGAGGATGGGAAATCTGTTTTTGGCTGAAGGAGCTACAGCTCTTAAAGGGACAGCTTTTCCAGTAGAGGACAGGGTGAGGACATGTAAACATGTGTAGGACACAGTATTGTCTGAACCTGACAAGCTTAAGCGTTAACGGAAAATTAAGGAAAAATGAAACAACACAGAAGTCACCATGGAAAGGATGAGAGCAAACAGGTTAGGGGAATCCAAGGAAGGTAAAAGGAGTTAGCAGATGCCCAGTAATCCATTGAAAAGAGGCAAATGGAAAGATATAGAATGCTTTGCTTCAGATGAATTGAGACCCTTTAGAAAGAACACTCAGGGACATTAGCCTAGCTCAGGGGTGGGCAAATGGGGCTCTTTTACAACCTGTGGACTTCAACTCCCAGAATTCCTGCCAAGCTGACTCAGGAATTCTGGGAGTTGAAATCCACAGGTTGTAAAAGAGCCCCATTTGCCCACCCCTGGCCTAGCTCTACCAATATATAGCCATAGCCAGAATTCACACTGGAAGAGGAAAGACAGCGGAGACGGCAAGGCTTGAGATACCTCACAACAGGCATTAGTGGGTACATTGGATATGGCACCGCTGGCAGTTCCATTAAAAGGGGAGCTTGGCACATTGGCCAGAAAGGCCCAGCTCCTGTTTTGCTTGTAAGGCTAGAAAGGGGAGCTCATTTCCATTTTGCCTCCCTCAAGAAGAAGAAAAAAAACCTTTCAAATCTTAGCAGCAAGATCCAACCACCCAGCACGCCTAGGAGGGCCCTCAATTTTGTTTTATACCCTATAAAACATCAAGACAACAGGTTGGAGAAGAGAATGGAAACACTGAAGCAGAAGAGGGAGAGAGGTAAGATGACTGTGGTCTATATTGCACTTTTGTCTTATATATACACATGCACTTTTTTAAAAAAAGAAAAGAAAAAAAAATAAGAACCAAAAGGATGGAGGAAGAAGAAGATGGAAAACAGGTCTGTCAAGCAGCTGGCTTCCTGTATTCCTCAACTCCATCCTGTCATTTCCCAGAATGCTTTGCCAGCAACCATTTGGGAACAGAGAGTCCTGATCTTGCAGAGCGTACTCCATGATTGATGAGATCCCGCTGGCCCAGGTGCGCTGGAGCTAGGGAGCTAAGAGTCAAATCTGTCAGTCAAGAACGTTTCCGTTGCTCCGTTGGTTTATAAATATGTTGCTCCTCTTCCTTGCCTTTGCTTCTTTCCAGCAAATCCTGAGAATGGTGGTGGGGAATTCTGCTCTGCCGATTTTGCACCACTGAGCCTGCCACGGCAAAAAGTTTCTGTCCTCGTGTTTGTCCCATGTGACAATGGTGCATTTTCACAGGCTGAAGTCATAAAGAGTTTTCCCTGCAGAGAGGAGGGGTTCATACCCCCCTCACCCCATGCCCTCCTTGGGGTGATGCTTCCTTGATCCCAAGAATGTGCTGCCGGCTGCCCCTGCTACCTCAGCCGTCCATCAGGCTTGATAGTCCCCAGTTCTGATTTGGGGTCCGGGGACAGTGAACTCCAAGAGGTTTTGTTACAAAGCTCCAAGGGCGAGCAGCTAGAAGGGTTCGCCATACAGAGTCCAGCTACCGACCAGAAACTGCTGATGCTGCTGTCTGTCCAGTTCTCTAGAGCATGGCCAAAGAGCTGCGTGTGCTGCTGGGAAGCTCGCCCCATTTCATCTAAATGGGGAAGGTTCAGGATCCCAGCCAGGCCCTGGAAATTTTGCTCCATGTACTCATTCCGGGGAGGACCAGCATGGAGCCACTTGCCATCATCTGAGAACACAGAAAGAAAGGAGATAAGCAAGACAAAGGGCTCCTATAAATCTGCCCGTATTTTAGGTACATATGTGTTTATTTACATATATTTTTATTTATATGCCAGCCCCAAATAGTGTACCGCAATCATACAGGTAGTCCTCGACTTACAACCACAGTTGACTCCAAAATTTTCTGTTCCTAAGCGAGGCAGCTATTAAGTGAAATTTGCCCCAATTTACCTTTCCTGCTACAGTTATTAAATGAATCGCTGCAATAGTTAAGTTAGTAAAACAATTGGTAAGTGAATTTGGCTTCCCCGTTAACTTTGCTTGTCAGAAGGTTGCAAAAACTGATCACCTGACACTGGGACACTGCAACAGTCATAAATACGAACCAAGCATCCAAATTTTGATCATGTGACCATGGGGATGCTGCAATGGTCATTAAGTCATTAAGTCATTAATATAGAGCCTTGGTAGCACAGTGGACTAATGCACTGTTATTAACATCTGCTGCTTGCAATTACTGCAAGTTCAAATCCCACCAGGCTCAAGGTTGACTCAGCCTTCCATCTTTTCAAAGGTAGGTAAAATGAGGACCCAGATTGTGGAGGCAATAAGATGACTTTGTATAAATATACAAAAGTATGAAGGCTATTGCTTAATGCATTGTAAGCAGCCCTGAGTCTCCGGAGAAGGGCGGCATATAAATTAAAGCAAAAAAGTGGGAAAAATGGTCATAAGTCTTTTTCCCCCCGGTACCTTCAAATGGTCACTGAATGAATGGCTGCAAGTCAAGGACCATCGGTAGTAGGCTAGAAGCAAGGTAATAACCTGGAGTAACTTCAGACTGTTCTGCAAATGGTTCAACCTCAGAACAATTGAGAAGATTCCATGATGGAACATTTTGTACAATTCTACTAGAATCAATTCGAGTGATGAGTCTTGAATCCCTCTCGTGACATGCCCTCATTACTGGTGGCCTTTGGGCAAAATAATTGGCTGCCAGAGGATAGAACTGAAGTTGGGGGGGTGGGGGAGGGAGAAGCCTTCCTTCCCTTCCATCTTTAACACCATTATTTTATCACAGTCATTGTGGAAGGGGAAGCATACCACCAACCATACTGAGTAGGCCAAACAAGAAATTAACTTCACAAGGAAGTTAAAAATCACTTTTATTAATATTGGCTACAATAACCAAATCTTGCAAGTCGGACTCTGCTTGATTCCTCCCTCCTCCCCCCACCTTGTACTCATATGAATTAGGGGCACATCTGCCCAAGTCACTTGCACATACCTTCTTGCTTTGAACCTAAACCAGGTGCCCCTCCTCCCTGTTACTTTGATAATGTAATAGACCTGGCCTATAATAGATCATTAGGCTTTTCTCTCTCAAGATCATCTTCTTTACTTTCTACCCATATCTACTTCACCCAATATTCTGAATTTAAACTTGCACCGCTTTTTTGAGACTAAGGATATTTTCCCCCCTATCACAGATGAGATATCCAGGATCTGGACACCTGCATTAGGAAACCAGGCATGTAAAATAGCATCCTGCTAATGCAAATGGCTCAGTGAACTGAGATGCCTCCTCTCTCCAATTGCCATTACCAAGCGTTTTGTAACAGTTTCAAAACCGTATTATTATTATTTATTAAATTTGTATACCGCCCTTCTCCTTTCGGACTCAGGGCGGTGAACAGCCAAAATAAAAACATTTGTACAAAAGTTAAAATAATTATTTAAAACTAATTAAATAGAATTTGCCCCATAATTTAAAACATATCAATTAAAATCAATATCAAACGTTAAAACCAACATGGAATCAGGCCAGCCCAGCTAGCTGAAAAAAGTAAGTTTTTAGGGCCCGACGAAAAGTCCGGAGGTCTGAGATCACTCGTATCTCTGGTATATAAATTCCAGGAGATTTATAGTAGTAAAGTTAAAAATACAGGAATCAACCATTTCAATGAAAAACCTGACAATAAATATGAATGAGAAAAACTTGGTATCCCATCTATAATGAGTCAACCAAAACCATAAAAGTCACCCAGCCAATAACCCCAATTAAATGATGCAGTCTTCATTGCCTGAGAAATATTAGTTGGAAGGGAGCAAGTATAGCTCCAGAAGTAGGGTATCCAAATCCTGGGGGCCAATAAGAAGGAGTCTGCAGGAATAGGACCATAAGCCTTCCCTCCACATGTGTACATGTGAATTGGGCACGTTCTACTTGCATAAAATAGTTCCTGAAATAATTTTGGAATCAAATTATGTAGGGCTTTAAAGATTAATTTTATAATTATAGTTTCTCAGCCTTTTTGAAAGGCAGGAGATTGGCAACACAAACATTTGCATTTTGTCTTGCCTAGTGATCTGGAATTAAATGTTCCTCTAAATCAAGCTCTGTACACAGGGATGAAATCCAGCAGGTTCTGGAGAACTGGTAGTGGAAATTTTGAGTAGTTCGGAGAACCGGCAAATACCACCTCTGACTGGCTCCAGAGTAGGGTGGGAATGGAGATTTTGCAATATCCTTCCCCTGCCATGCCCACCAAGCCACACCACACCCACCAGGCCACGCCCACAGAACCGGTAGTTTAAAAAATGGAATTTCACCATTGCCGGTACATTTTCCAAGGTATGATGTGCACCCTAATATGAGAAGTGGAGAGAGATCATGGCTGCTGTGGCTTCAAAAGCAAATTCTAGAGAATAGTATTTGGGCCATTAAACTTCTGGGGTTGCTGTACATAATCAGAGTCCCAAATATCCATGCATAGGACTGCATTGTTGCTGTTTTGACCGGGGTGATATTTACATAATATCCTCTTCCTCCTGAAAGAGGATTTTAATGCAAAACTCTGACAACACCACAGGACATTTGCTGACAAAAAAACTGATGGAAATTACAGTTATGTTTCAAGGAATCACAAAAGGCTAAATCATAAATGTAATATGTATATACATCGAGGGCCCTTAAGAACACATCATACATGCATGTATGTACATACTCTCTCTCTCTCTCTCTCTCTCTCTCACTCACACACACACACACACACACACACGCACAGCTCCATACTTCTTCATTACTACCAATAAACTGCTAATATGTTGAATTAGTACCAATAATGGATATTGAATATGGGCTAATAAATTCTGCATTAATCCAGAGAGGGACGGGTGCTCTTAGTCAGGAAGCAGATGTAATCAGGAAACTGATTTCAGCCTGCCTTGGATGTTGAGGAATCAAGTAGCTAATCTGGAGGTTCTTCTGGATTCAACTTTTTATTTTACTTATTTATTAAATTTATTTGCCACCCATATCATTTCAAAGCGACTTTGGATGGCTTCCATGTGGAAATTCAGAAGACAGCTGCAGCCAGCAATGCTTCTGCTCAACTTGGGTGCTCATATATGACCACTTCTAATGACATCAGAGAAGGCCATACTGATATACATCTTAATTATATCAAGATTGGATTATTGTAACACATTCTACTTGGGGTTTCCTTCTAAATAAGCTTTGTGAACAGATCATTGGTGTAGAATTCTTATACACATCAAAGTCTTGCTGATGGCCCATTAGAACTGCAGGCCTAGAGCAGGATTACCTTTGGAAATGCCTTGTCCCATAATAGGTTCTCCATAAGTGTCCTCCGATGGAGAAGCCCTTCTCTGTGTCCAGTAATGGAAGTGTGATTAGTGGAACAAGAAGGGCCTTCTGACTGACCTCACATTAACTATGGAACTGTGTCTCACAGAATTGGTACCTTCTTGGGTCATTGTCTGTCCAAGGCCTTCTGAATAGAATAGAATAGAATAGAATAGAATAGAATAGAATAGAATAGAATAGAATAGAGCAGAGCAGAGCAGAGCAGAGCAGAGCAGAGCAGAGCAGAGCAGAGCAGAGCAGAGCAGAGCAGAGCAGAGCAGAGCAGAACAGAATTCTTTATTGGCCAAGTGTGGACACACAAGGAATTTGTCTTGGTGCATACTCTCTTGGTGTACATAAAAGAAAAGATACATTCGTCAAGAATCATAAGGTACAACACTTACTGATAGTCATAGGGAAACAGTCAATCTAAATCTTAAGGATACCAGCAACAAGGTTACAGTTATACAGTCATAAGTGGGAGGAGATGGGTGATAGGAACGATGAAAAGATTAATAGTAATGCAGACTTAATAAATAATTTGACAGTGCTGAGGGAATTATTTGTTTAGCAGAGTGATGGCGTTCGGGAAAGAACTGTTCTTGTGTCTAGTTATTTTGGAAAATGCTTGTTCCCCAGGCAGAGTACATATCCCTTGATACATTTAACTATTGTACCTGCCTTTTTTGTAACTTCTGCTTGCCCACCTTTGGTTTTTCTTTTCAATTATTCATAAGCCTTAATCGTTGTTTATTTTTTATTTATTAAATTTGTTTGCTGCCCATCTTGTGACAAGGTGACTGTTTTTGGCTGTTCTGAAATAAGAAAAGTGGGATCTCTCCCTCTAGTACATACATGGATGTCGAGAAGCACACACATAGATAGTAGAGATCCCTTTTGTTATCTGAATCTTTCTCCTGAGTTCGCCCTCCTCATTTGTTTCCAGGCATTCTCACTTTAAGCCAGTGGTGAAATGCTCCCAGTTCCGATCCGGTAGCGATGGCGGGCGGTGGTTTGGAGAACCAGTAGCAAAAATCCCTGCCCGCCCCCCATGCCCAGCTGAGCTGTGCGATCATCAGAGGCTTTTTTTTTATTTTTAAAAGCATTTTTTCGAAATGCTTTTAAAGCATTAAGCCGAAAAAATGCTTTTAAAAGTAAAGTAAAAAAAAAAGCCTCTGATGATCGCGTGGCTCAGATGGGATCATCAGAGCCTTTTAAAAGCATTTTTTCTACAACCTCTTCGGCTGAAGAGGTTGTAGAAAAAATGTTTCTAAAAGAAAAAAAAGCCTCTCACGATCAGGCAACTCAGCTGGGATCATCAGAGGCTTTTTTTTTCTTTTAAAAGCAAAAAAAAGCAAAAAGCTTTTAAAAGGAAACAAAAGCCTCTGACAGTCAGGCAACTCAGCTGGGATCATCAGAGCCTTTTAAAAGCATTTTTTCTACAACCTCTTCAGCCGAAGAGGTTGTAGAAAAAAATGCTTTTGAAAGTAAAAAAAAAAAAAAAAGTTAGCCTCAACCACCCAGTCCATTACCACCACCCCACCAAGCCACGCCCACAGAGCCAGTACTAACAAATTTTACATTTCTCCACTGCTTTAGGCCACTTACCTTTCCGGAGAGGCTGCTTGTGATTGAAGGTCTGGGGAACCACTAGGAACTGGCTCTCACCCAAGGGCTCCCAGAAATGGAAAAGGCGGATGGTCCAGGCACCTGGGCGGAGGGGCCGATTGAGAGGCGGTTTGTACTGTGTGTATTCTGCGTCTGCATCTACTGTGATATCATAGGACGTAGCAATGATATAGGTGGGGTCAATCCAAACTATGGTGGCCGTGAGGTTGGGTCCCCGTGCCCATTTCTGCATAGCCACTGGTTCGTCGAAAGGCCCGATCAGCCCACCAAAATTGCGGAAGATCCTCTCTTTGGGGTCCCACTCAGTACCTACCTGTAAGAGTGGACAGAAAAGAGGCGTTTGCAATGGGGAAGAACACCCACCCACAGCATGGGAAACATGCTCTTCAATAGGCAAGAAACAGTTAGAGCAGAGATGGGCAACTATGGCCCTTTTATGACTTGTGGACTTCAATTCCCAGAATTCCTGAGCTAACATGGCTGACTCAGGAATTCTGGGAGTTGAAGTCCACAAGTCATAAAAGGGCCATAGTTGCCCACCCCTGAGTTAGAACATTTATAACGTTTCATCGAGTAAGCACTTGGGAAAAATACAGGTAGTCTTTGACTTACGACCATAATTGAGCCCAAAATTTCTGTTGCTAAGCGAGACAACTTGTTAGTTTTGTCCATTTTACGACCTTTCTTGCCACAGTTAAGTGAGTCACTGCAGTTAATCTAACAATTGTTAAGTGAATTTGACTTCACTTAACAATTGACTTCACTTGTTAGAAAGTTCCAAAAGGTTATTATAATGACAACCCTGGGACACTGCAACTGTCATAACTATGAGTCAGTTGCCAAGTGTCTGAATTTTGATCATATGACCGTGGAAATGCTGCAACAGTTGTTTAAGTATGAAAAATGTTCATAAGTCACTTTTTTTTTAGTGCTGTTGTAATTTTGAATGGCAACTAAACAAACAGTTGTAAGTTGAAGACTACTTGTATTCCTACACAAAGGTAGACTGCATTGCCATATGCATTTCTATTCCAAATTCTGTTAGAAAAAAATCCTTTCTTCTGCCAGCATGTCCCCGCAGAAAAAGATTTAGAATCTGCCTTGCCAAAGACTTTCTTCATTCAGCAATCCACAAGGGGGCTCACATTTCTCCGGAAATACTCCACATGGGAAGCACTAATAAGGACATTCAATCTGACATTCAAAGGACATTTCTGTGGTCATGTGGCCAGCATGACTATACGCTGAGGCACATGGAATGGTGTTACCTTCCTACTGAAGTATTTATCTACTCCCATGCTTTCGAACTGCTAGATGGGCAGGAGCTGGGGCAAGAAACAGGAGCTCGGCTCATTGTGCAGTACTTGGGCCTTGAACCCAGGCTGTCAGCTTTCCAGCAGACAAGCTCTGTGTCTTTAACCACTACACTACTGCACCCCTTCACACATCATACCGCCCTATTAATTATATTACAACAGCTCACAGCCACATAGAACAGAACCCCCCCCCCCCCAAAAGTGAAGTTTTGCAGTTGCAGAGAAGGCTATTTCAGTCTTCCTACAGTCTTGCTTTTGGGTTTTTCTTCACAGATCACATTCTCAACCACATAATTCTTTTCTTGCCCAAGTATTCCTGAATGACCTTATTTTGAATGGAGGAGGTCATCTTTTCTTTTGCCTCATACTTTTCATAAGCTGCATATAGCTCAGGGAGTAAAGACTAATCTCTGTCTCCACTTGCTGGTCTACTGGATGTCACAGTCAGGAATAGACAGAATTGTTTGAGGAAGCTGCGAAATACTCAAGAAAGGACTCCTCATACAACAGAAATGCAGATCAAGTGAAATTGTTACATATTATTGAGACAGTGCTTGCTCAGCAATATGAAGTCCATGCAGAGTCACCGACTACCATGATTTCCTTCAAGAAGCTGAATTAATTATTGCACATTCTGGATGTCAGTTGCATATTGATAAAATGTGGGGGGTGGGGTGGGGGGAAGGAGGATACATTGATTGAAGCATAGAGAGCATTTTGATTAATTTAAAGCCAGGAGAGAACAAGAGAATAGCTAAACAGGAATCCCACCTCAAGATTCTGCAAACGGTTGGCTGATTTGCCACTAGCAGCTAATTTGAGAGTCCCACGGGGCATCATCCATATTTCTAGAAACTCCACCTGTTGAGTTGCAGAGTTCTGAACTTCTTGAGTCACCAAATAGCCCTGGAAATGGTCGTCATAAAAATACAAGTGGACACTGGATGGAAAACCCTGTGGTTCAAACCTGGAAAAATATGATAACAATTACAATAATATTAATCATAGTAGTAATAGTAGCAATAGTAATAATAGCCCTGAATAGCACTTCCAAATGGTCAGAACATTTCATATGCATAATTAGGAACAGCTTATAAAAGTTCATTATTGCTATCCTTCATACTGCAGATGGGAAAGCTGAGACAGGCAGAGAAATTGCTTGCTTTGGCCCACCTGAACAGTAGAGATCCAACCAACCAACTTCCAGATTTGAAACTCACAACAATATCTTATATGTTCTGAGTCCCAATCAGTTTAATGGGTTTATTCTCCACTGAGGTTTTAGTCTTTTAGCCAGTCTAAAAGATCAGTTCTCCAAACCGACATGATAGTTCTTAACATCAAAGACACATTCAGACACATCTACATCAATGAGCCATCTATAGACTATTTCAAGTTCAAGGAGACCTATCAGAATAACACTGTTTTATTTATTTGATCTTGTCTTTTTCCATTAGCTGAAGGTGGTATCCATAATGGTTCCTTCCTCTTCCAAGGTTATTCCCCACAACAATTCACCTCCTAAGTAAGAGGCATAGTGAATAACTCAACCAAAATCAGTGAGTTTCCACAGCTAAAGGTATATTTGAATTTGAGTTGTCCTGATCCTAGTTCAAAATTCTGACTATTATTTACTTTAAGCATCTAATGCCACTGAAAAATTGAAGTTATTTTATGTCAGTAAGTCCACCATCCCATCTTAATAGAATAGAATAGAATAGAATAGAATAGAATAGAATAGAATAGAATAGAATAGAATAGAATAGAATAGAATAGAATAGAATTTTTTATTGGCCAAGTGTGATTGGACACACAAGGAATTTGTCTTGGTGCATATGCTCTCAGTGTACATAAAAGAAATATATGTTCATCAAGAATCATAAGGTACAACACTTAATGATAGTCATAGGGTACAAATAAGCAAGCAGGAAACAATATCAATATAATAGATATCCCAAATGACAGCAATCTCTACATGCAGAGACCAGAAGCAGAACTTGGATTGCCAGTTTGTAAAACCTACATCCCGGGAGATTTGGTCTTTCTCCAAGGGTAAATAAAGCACCCTGTCCCTCTGTCAAGAAGAGTGATCTGAAGGATCAGGTAGTGAACTCTCAAGCAGGATAGGACATATCTTTTCCCCTCAAGCCAAATGATCGATGGCCCAGAAATCCAGACCAAGCTTTCCCACCTCAAAGCAACCCCAGGCCCTGTCACACGCTTGCACTACCTGCATGGCCTGTCTTTTTTCTGGGCTGGCGCAGAGGTCATTTTCTGTAGCCCCAGCCTGGAGAAGGATGTGTACACAGTCAGGGTGACGTCGCTGAACCCACTCAGCCCATCCACACGGTCATAGACACTCTCCCAATAGGCCTTGAGGGCTGGCGTGTTAGGTGGGTAGTTACCATAGAGATGAGTGTCCAAGATTTCCAGCACCTCCTGGTTGATGGTGGACTCAAACTTCCTGGCAAAAAATGTAGGTCTGGAGAGTTGCTGAAAAGAAAAAGACATTTGGAAAATGGGACAGAGAGAGAAGCAGAGGGAAGAGTTTCATAACATGATTCAATGATAAATCTGTAGGACTAAAACATAAATTTAACCAAAAAGCAGTGTGCACTTGGAATCTAACATTTTCCAATATAATAATTATATCTCTTGCAAAATCCTGGAAATTAGCTATCGCTCCCAAACATACTGGCATATGAAAATGAATAAGCACCACTTTGAAAATTAGCTTATTTTTGCCAATAGATCGTTGTTAATAATAAACATAGTTATCAATTATAAACTATTTGGTATATAAAACTTCAGGATAAGAAAAAGTATACATGGATGAAATCCATATTATGATCATTAGTCTGTTCTTTAGTCTTAACTTAGAATCATAGAAAATTGTCTTTTTTTGAGTCTGCCCTTTGAGGTTTTTTTGTTTTCTTTTTAATTAATTAATTAATCTTTATTATTTTTAATTTTAATTCAGATGATGGACATATGTGTATCTCATGCATATTTAAATTCAGTTATTGATCACTGGCCCACTTGGTTCCAAGCTTCCACTGCTCTTTCGGTAAAGTAATATGTTCTAAAATTACTTTTGAATTTCCCTCTTGCCAGTTTGAGGTAATGCCCTCGTGTTCTTGATACTTATTGCATTTTATTTGCTTTTAAGGAGGAGAGAGGGAAAAAGACCACCAGCAGAGGAATGGAAAACAATCTCTTGATTTCATCCCAGTGCAAAAGAGTTCATTGCCGAATGCTAGATATGTAAAAATGAAGTAAAAAGTAACATCTTATTCCATGTTACAGTTGGGGTGGACCTGAGGAGCTACTGCTGCTCAGCAAAGAGGAGGTGGGTGGACCCAACCTGGCTGACCTTGCCTGAGGTTCGAAATAAAGTAGAGTTGAAGCTGGCTGGTATTTTGATGATGAGAGAATATCAAGGTATTCCGGGGTTTGAGCTAAATTGGAAAGTCAGAAAAACACATCCTGAAAGAAGCAACGGCAAACAATTTCAATCCTGCTGCCATGAAATCTGTGTGGATGAATTGATAAAAGTCCACAGGAGTTGAGTTTGACTTAAGAGCATATTCGTGTTATTGTTACGCTATTTTGACGTCACTGAGTTACTATGGTTTGTGCAAATGAAACGAAGAAGGACGAATAACTTCCTGAGAGCGAAATAAAGTTACATTATACCAAAAATGGAAATGTATGGTGTACCTGCAGTCTCAAGAAGTCCTGTGGTTTGAAGTCATTTGGGGAACATCCGCACCAATCAACTATGTGCTTATATTGGCACTTGCAGCCCAGCTTGCGGTTCCAGTTTGTCACCCGGAGGTTGTTGTCTACCAAGGTGTCACAGGCATGGCTGTTCTCCAAGACAGTGTGGAAAAAGGACTGTAGGAGGAGAGGAGAAGCATCGTGAGAAATACGGCTCTACCCAGGAAGAAATTACCACGGCCCACATGCCTACAAGACAGTCATTCTAAACTTGGAATTTTATTTAAAGGGCAGGTCCAAGAGGACTTCGCATTCTGAAAATGCTTCCTCACTCTGGAAGAAAAGCCACATGCTGCAGAAGGAACCTCAAATGGAGGGGATCGAATTATTACTATTATTATCTCTTTTATTCACTAAACATGAAACTCAGTCAACTGAACATTCAAAAATGCATCACAAATACCATTGACTGGTGCTAATAGTTGATACGGGTTGGTGCCAGCGTCCTAGGTATTATAATAATAATAATAATAATAATAATAATAATAATAATAATAATAATAATAATAATAATAATAATAATAATTTTGTTGAAACAAATGAGTCAGCCAGCGAGCCAGCCAGCTGCTGTTTAGCCTAATCTCTCAATCAGTTAGCAGATGTTTGCCTTGACTTTTTACTGTATTCACTTTGCAAGAGGTTGAAAGCTGTCAAGAGAGTGGCCAAAATAACAGGATGATGATATCAGCAACCTCATCAAAGAAGGATCTACCTGGATCTCATGCCTCACCTTCTGCAGTTATAAAGTCTGGTGTAGGAATCCACAGATAGTTTCTTCACTCATTAGAAAAGTTAAATTAGAAGCATGTGCGAGCATATAAAAACCCAACTTATTTTCTCAACTGTATATATGACAGTCAATATCTTTTTTAAAAAATCTGCTTTCCATCCTCCAAACACCTCTTAGGGATTTTTATTATTATTAACTCCCTCACGGTATTGACTTGGGAGCAGTCCCAACATGGACATTGTTTTCCCCCCACAGCATTCAGTACTGGCACCTGTGCAAAGCAGGTGCAAAAAAATATCAAATTGCTGTAGTTAGAAAGATCCTCGTTCAGCAGCATTTGTTATATCTTAACACATCTGGATCAGAAGCAGATCTGTTTAATCCTTTATCAATGCCAAATTACATCTGTCAGAGCCCAAAATTACTTGGGAGTGTGCAATGTTTGGTTCTGCTTTTCATACCAAACTGTTCCATTTCTTGTAGCTAAGCAATAAATTCTTTCTTATAAAGGATTATTACTTAAGTAGTATCAGAGTTTGCAAAATATGAGAGGCTAGGTCCCAGCCCAAAGAGAGGTACAATAAAGAATCATTATGAAAGCAAATAGAGGCAGCAGGAGTATATGCATTTATCTCAGTTAAGCATAGTAAGACTTGAGAAGCAGAGAAGGAATGCTATTAGAAACCTGATTTATTTCCTTACTTTCATTAGTTGGATAATAACACTTACATGGCAGCCTAGTACTCAGACTGTTATTGGTTGTATTAGAAACAAAGTTTCCATCCTATACAAAAATACTAACCCATTCATCAGAGTTACTCTGAAGCCTCTACAACTGATGGACCTACCTCTGCTGGGAGAAGTGTGTATGTGTAGAATTGTTGCAGCTGGGAGACCAATTGATCGCTGGTGTACACCACATATTCCACAAAACTGCGCGTTAGGGCAAACCAGTCTGAGCCGCCATCCACCACGATACCCTCTGGGATCTGCCGTTCACCCAGTCGCCACATATGTGTGTCGCATTCATGGAAAAGTCTGTCTAGGCCCTGCTTCTTGATGAACCTATGTGGAGATGAATGCCTCAGATTCACTAGGAAGCAACATGGAATTTTAGGGATCACGTTTTGAACAAGGAGAGTTCTAGAACACTGCACTTTGAAAACTTTGGATTCTATAGCCTGAGTTCCAGGAAATTGGCATAATCATTTTGGTTCACAGCCTTTCAATCTTTCAGCTTAAATTTTGGAAACTGGATTGTTTGCAAAGAATTCAGCTTGGTCTGATTAACCTTTGGAGGCTTCAAAAGCTGCCAACATTACAAGTTATAAGAGTTTCTTTTGACAGCATTTAAAGAGCAAATGAAGCCAGTTGTGGAAGATGCTGAAAGATTTTTTTTTAAAAAAAAAATAATTACTGGGAGAAGAAATTACACGGTGAACCTATGATTTTTGGCCCAACAACAACAGATTCCTATAAATCAGAGCCTTTAATCAAAAATAGCTCCAAAGCTTTCCACATTTTTGAATGTTTTTCTTTTTTACAATTATGAAAGTTGGAGCTCTTTTTGAAGACACGGTTTGATAAAAAAACAAAAAGACAGCAAAGAAAAATGTATTATTTGTAGATAGAATTCAGATATAGGTTTCAATTATATTCAGTTTCAGATGAAAAAAAGAATATAATCTATTCAATTTCCATGAACTTCAAAGAGCAATAGACAATTAAAAGATAGTATAATGAATATTACCGTGTTTCCCTGTAAATAAGACCCTGTCTTATGTTTTTGAACCCTGAAATAAGCACTTGGCCTTATTGCCATGTGCTCAAAAGCCCAATTGAGGTTATTATCAGGGGATGTCTTATTTTGTGGGGAAACAGGGTAGAAAGTCTATCTGGCTCTGAAGAGATAAAACAGAAGTTGTCAGATGGTCTAGGCAGGGTATTTACAACTGGGCAGCACAGCCAAGAATGCCCTCTGTCCCAACAGCAATTTATCTGAGATTGTGGGCTTTTTTGTCATTTTTAATCTGTTCCCCAATGCCAAAGCTCTCCAAATTACCTAGCATTATCTCGTCCATGAGACTTCAAAAAATTCTTGTCCCGATATTTTGATAGGAATGTCACCAGCTCCTCATTGGTCCTGCAGGGGGCAGCAAATCAAAAGGAAGAATTAGAAAAAGCAGAAAACTGACAGGAGATTTGTAAGCTTTCTGAGAAAGGAAACCTGATGTACCTCCAAATATTTTAGATTACAAAACCCACCATCCTTAGCCAATACTTTGGCCAGATGGGACATGTGATAGTCCAACACATCTTCAAACTTTAATCATGATCAGGAGACAGGAAGAATGGAATTCCAATCTATACACATTTTTGAAGCGCTGAAGAAGACCAGATATAAAACTGTACCCATATTATTGGAAATTATATTTTGTCAGGATTGTCATTGTACCAAGAATCTTGTTTATACAATTGCACACAGATAAGAAATCATTCAATTAAGGAAATCATTACTAATGTTTTCAACAATAGAAGAGGAAATGCAGCTCCGAACACTTTATCAGGGACTTTATCATGGTTCCTGAATAGACAAATGCTAGAACAAATTTACTTAAAGAGGAAATTGTTTAGACATTAAAAGAGTTCTTTGGAAAAAGAGAATTTGCACCTATCAAATGCATAATAAACAAGCCTAAACCTTTATGGCAATTCTTTCTAATTTGGGTGTCCTCCAAATGTGTGAAACCTTCCTAGTATGATGGCAGTGCTTCTATCTCCAATTGCTTCTACTGAACAAGAGTTTCTGCAGGACTGTCCTACTCTGAGAAGAATCAGATTAAGGCTGATCTTGAGGACAAGAAAGCAAAAGGAAAAGAGGGATGGGAGAAGAGAAGAAAGAAACAAGGAAGAGCAGGCAGAGAACTGATGCAAACAGCAGAATCATCTATGCAGATTTCCAGTTAACCACATCCAATGTGTTTCCCAACTTTCCTCTTAGTAGTCATTTTCCTTGCCTTTGTATCTTCCAAACAGCAGCAATCTAATTATTGATTGGCTTTGGCAAAAAAAACAGGACCAAACCACTCGTGTCTATTGAGATTCTTCATTTCCAAGTCATGATTGTCCCAAAGGTCCTTTTCCAAAAAGGCAACTAGATTTTCTTGATTTTTTTTCTTTGAAAACGTTTCACTTCTCATCCAAGGCTCTTCAGTTCTAACTCAAGCCACTCAACACCAAAACTTCTGATATGCTATGGCCTCTTGGAACTCTGAAGTTCCCTCTTATTTTCCTACTTTCATTTCTGCATTAAACTGGGGTGGGTGGGAAAAAAGAGAACCCCCTGATCCCTTCCATTCAAACCATCCCAGCTTCTCTCATATGATCTCAATGTTCATAGATCAGCAGCAGAACCCTCTGCTACCTGCTGGGCCTTTTCCTTTTCAAGACTGACCTGGTGGGATAGTCGGTGGCACTCAAATTGATGAAATAGTCCCAGGCCCAATCTGTCACCTCCAGCAGGTCCTTCATGCTGCGCAGGTACATCTTCAGCAAGCTGGCCCCACCCCAGATTGTGACCATGCGCCAGGGGGTAACCAAGATGTTAGGGTAATGCTGGGCCAGATCCTTCACTTCACGGTGCAGGTACGTAGAACGCTGCAGGAGAGATGGGAACAGGGAGAGGAAACTGAATGCCAGAGTTTAGGATACCTTGAGGATCACCCTTTGGCCCCTTCTTTCCCAGGAAGAGTCAGGTGACAGTAGTGGTAGTGCAAACGTGTAAGGAAGCTCCAGCAAGTCCTGAGACTTACCTCCCTGGTATTGTAGTTTGTTTTATTGTTTTAACCATAGCGCTTATTATTCCTCTAGATGTATAATATGTATAAAATCTGGAGTTTTTGCTTCTTATCTTTTTCTTATTCCGATAGTTGTTTTAATTATGTTTATGTAAGTTGCCTAGAGTTACCTAAGTGATTGGATGGATGGGTAGAAATAAATATAGAAATGCTGGCTTTAGCAGAAATTTCACATTTGCAAGACACAGAATAACAGAGTTGGAAGGGACCTTAGAGGTCTTCTAGTCCAACCTCCTGTTCAAGCAGGAAACCCTATACCATTCCAGACAAATGGCTGTCCAATCTCTTCTTGAAAGCCTCCAGCGATGGAGCACCCACAATGTCTTGAGGCAAATCGTTCCATTGATTAATGGTTCTAACTGTCAGGAAAATTCTCCGTAGTTCTAGGTTGGTTCTTGCCTTTATTAGTTTCCATCCATTGCTTCTTGTCCTGCCTTCAAGTACTTTGGAAAACAGGTTGACCCTCAGATGTTTGGCTTTCACATTAAAAATAAAGTTGACAATACATTGACAATACCTATATTTTATATATAAAAAAAGAACTCCAAAACAAAATCCCACATCTACTAGAGCAAAATAGAATTTCTGATAATTTACACAAGACTTTATATTTATCCTTTGCTTCAAAGGTGTTCTGCTAACTATGCAAATAGCTACTTCCTGCACTGCCCTCATCTCTGCTTTACCCTTTCAAGTTCTGCAGTCCTTCCACTGTAATTAACCTAATTAATTAGGTTAATTAACCTAATTAACTTGAACAGCATGGTTAATACTGGTACTCTAAACCATCTGAAGCGCAAGACTCCCACTGATTATGCATTAAATCTTAGGATTTGTCTTGCTTTCCCCAAAGGTTTTCTCTGCGTCCAAACCAAACAGTGATTACCAGGAAGCAAATCAGGAAACTGTATTTATCCAAAACTCTGGGCCTTGATATTTTAATGCATGCCTTGTTCTAAACTTGTATATTTAAAGTAGTGTTTTATATCAACATGCACCACAAGATGTGTCTTGGAAGCTTTTGCCAAAGTGTTTGAACTGTCGTACTATTACAGAGAGTAGTAGTAAGACAGCAGGCCGAGGCTTCCATTATTTTCCTTTAGAAAAGAGAAACCCATGCATACAATTATCTAGATCACTATTTTTAACCTCTCAGCAATTTTAAAGATGTGTGGACTTCAACTCCCAGAATTCCCCAACCAGCATGATGATTGCTGAGGTGGAGAAACATCAACCTAGATGACAGGTAGAGCACCTACATCCAATGTTCAGTTTTCTCTGCCTAGGGATCTTTTTCCTCCTATGAAGGAGGCTACGTGATGTCCTGCAGACCAAACAGATGTATTTCTCTGGTGTTGCTTGTATGAGGAGCCCTCAATTCTATTCTCACCCTCAGAGGCCTACCAACGTTGACTGAACTTACTAGCCAGTTAGTGTTTGTGGATTTCCGTAAGGGCCACAAATTCTTCCACTTCCCTAAATTCTCTGACATTTCCTCTTGACAGTATTTCATAATATTAAAAGGAAGGAGCTTTACATTTCCACTTGAGACTCAATCTTGTGTGTTCTGAGCAAGACGGATGAAAAACTCTAGGGGATCAATGCAAAAATATATACATGAGAACAGGTTAGGATTTTAAAAAAAAACATCCTTTGGGATGCCTTGAAATAAACATGCCCAGCACCCCAGAGATAAATGATTTTGTTCACTAAATGAGCATTTTCCCATTGACTTTTGCCACAGAATTCTGGGGGTTTCAAGACAACACAGGGAATAAAGTGAAGATTAAGGCAAAACTTAACACTGATCATAAAAGTTGGTTTCATCCATGTGCAGAAGGAGTACCGGTATCTACCATTGAGGAATTTTACTAACTCTCTCAGGGACTCAAAATGAAGACTGTACCTTCCGGTTTTAATCAAATATTGAATAAAGAAAAATAACAAGGAATGATTCAAGTCCCCTCTTCAGGATGCATTCATTATAAAGGAAAGTTTTTCTGTTGGAACCAAGGCAGGGTCCATTCGGTTTTCTCTTTTAAAAGGGGTCTGCAAGGACCTCAGAGGTTCTTGCCAGTGCAATAGGACACCCAGTGAAATAGGCAGTATCAAAATGTTCAGTCTGGTTTGGGCTAGTTGCAAGAAGACACTAAGGGACAAAAGTGGACATCAGCTGCCCCTGATTGGTGCCAACCCACCCTGCTTGTGGCAGATAGCTTGGGACTTTGTGTCCGTCTTTACAGAAGAGAACAGAACCATGAGGTCTGCTTTATCCAAACATTCATTTATTCATAATAAAATCTTGACTGTTCATGTAGGAAGGATGTGGGTAAGCAAATATCCTCTCTTCTTTTGCACTGTAAACGGGAAATGAGATCTCCATAGCCAGTACAGCAGAGGATAGAAGCTGAGAGACAGATGCATTGTGTCAGTGGTGAAATTCAATTTTTTTTACTACCGGTTCTATGGGCGTGGCTTGGTAGGTGTGGTGTGGCTTGGTGGGCGTGGCAGGGGAAGGATACTGCAAAATCTCCATTCCCACCCCACTCCAGGGGAAGGATACTGCAAAATCTCCATTCCCACCCCATTCCAGGGGAAGGATACTGCAACATCTCTATTCCCACCCCACTCTGGGGCCAGCCAGAAGTAGTATTTGCCAGTTCTCCGAACTAATCAAAATTTCCACTACCGGTTCTCCAGAACCTGTCAGAACCTGCTGGATTTCACCCCTGCTTTGGGTAGTGTAGTCAAGAGATCTGTGGACCAAGGTTCATTTCATGCCATCACTCCCCTCTTAAAATGCCACATGCCTTACCTTGTCCACATGTATGTAAAAGAAATGCTGCTGGTGATACACAGCCTTAATGAGGCGCTTCAGCTGGCGGATGGCTCTCCCATGAACCACAAGCATGTATGCAATTCGAACTGGCTTGTCCACGGAGGCCTGGACCATTTTGCTCTCATCCCATTGGATCACAGGACTAACCTTCCCTGCAGAGATTTTTAAAAAAAGGATCAAATCTAGAATCAGTATGGTCTGAACAGAAAAAAAGAGAGGAGCCACTGAACAAGCTCCTTAGGCTAAGTGACCTTTAGAATTCAAGCCAAGCTTCTCCTGATCCACACACGCAATAAGGAACAACACAACACAAATGGCAACTTCCTAATTTTGATCCAACTTGCAGCTGCTGGAAAGCTTGTGCTGTGCTTGAAACCCCAAGAGAGGTGAGCAAAGGCTATATACTCAATGCACCATTACTCTTCTCTATCTAGATGGTAGGAGGAAATCCCCATCACCGCAGGTGGCCAAGCAGCATCTTCCTGAGGGTGACACGCTCTTGCTCACAAAGTCCAGAAAACATTCCTTCTAATACCTCCCTATTTGGGTTAACAAGGCCCTTTAAAAAAAATAGATATGGGAAAATAAAAGGTGAAAGGAGGAGCATAGCAAGGCCAGAAGGAAAGAGCTAAATGGAAAGAACGCTCCCGAGACCCTGATTAAATGTTCCAACTGGGGAACTCCAGGGAAGCAAAGAATAATCCTTCAGTTCAGGAACTCAATTTGTCTCTAAGGTAGTACAGATAAATGTTTTTGCCAAGAATCTGGGATTGAATCTTTGATTTACTGTAAAGTGTATGCTTGTTACAGTCTTCGCCTATGATAACTACTGTCCTGTCTCTGAGGATTACTCTATCCGTGCAAGGCAGTTATTATACCCTGGGCTCTCTGAGCAGCAGAGCCCTTTACACCTTGGATCTCTCCCAATTTTTATATCTGCTGTGACAGCTTTTATGGGCGATTCCCATCTTTATTTTTAGCAGCTCTCTATTTTTATCTCTTTGGCCACAGAATGTTTAACTGCATAAAGTTAAAAAGAGAGGCTTACATTTCCTTTGTTCTTCATATAGTTTTTTTTTTTAATTATACTTTGTACTTTTGATCCAACTGTCATAGGAGAAGTGATTTCCTCAGTCAGACATTTACCAGAAGGTAGCCACATAATTCATTTAACCTATTTCATTCCTTGTCTCCCATCTTTTTACATTTGTGTTTGCCAGTCACACACCTAGGCCAGTGATGGTGAACTTATAAATCGTGTGTCAAAAATGACATGCCAAGATGTTTTGGATGACACACAAGCCTCCACCAACACCTGACAGTAACTACTCCTGAAAGCATGTCTTGTTCTTCTGCAATTTTCGGAAGCTGTGCCAGAATGTAGTGTGCTCTTGTGCAACCTTTGGACCCTTCAGAAGGTGGGTAAAAGGATCTGTTCTTGCATAACTCTGGAGCCTCCAAAAATCATGTGAGAATGGGGTGTGTTTTGGTGTAGTTTTCAGAGGCTGTAGAGGTTGCACAGCATTCCCTGAAACCACTTCAACAACTAAGACCTTGTGCGATCTGGAACAGCCTTGGGTAGGCCTATTACTTGCTCTTCATAAGTACACTGTGAGCTTATGCACCAGAGACAAATTCCTTGTGTGTCCTATCACACTTGGTCAATAAAGAATTGTATTGTATTGTATTGTATTGTATTGTATTGTATTGTATTGTATTGTATTGTATTGTATTGTATTGTATTGTATTGTATTGTAGTGTAGTGTAGTGTAGTGTAGTGTAGTGTAGTCCTATTCTGTTCTAGGGCAGGGCAGGGCAGATTTCTGGGTTTAAGAACTCCCATCTCTCACCCTTCAGATTCATCTCTGCTGCTACCCTAGTCCACACACATTTGCAAACATGGGTTCAAAAATGTATGGGCCTCATGAAATTCAGAACCCAGGATGAGGAAAGAATGATTGTCCAGAGATATCCAAGAGTCAATTTTTTTGGGCTCAGAAGTTGTCACTTTGCTACAATTTTAATTTTTTTTTTTTGGCCAAATATAAAGTTTAGAGAATTCTGCCTTCAATTTTTAATGATAGAATTTGGGGAGTTGGGCCCTTATCTCACTGCAGATATCGGGGCTTAAGGAACAGGAATGTTCACTCTTAAATTCAGCAAGAGGTCTGAGAACAGGATGTCTCACAGCCAATTACCACTCACTGGAAAAAAGCAGGAAAAGGAGAAAGGAAATTATGTTGCACAAAGCCATTTTGATTTGTCTTGGTCACACATCTTGGGGATTACTGACATCTCAACTGTTCCTAGTAGAGATGGAAAATCTCAAACCTAATTTCAAATTCCTCTGCAAGCAATTCCTTAGGAACTGTCTGTCCCTTTTTTCAGAAGGATGCTAGATGAGGTGGCAGAAACAGCAGCAGTAAGTGTGTGTGTGTGTGTTTGTGTGAGAGAGCGAGAATGTAATTGTCATAAGCCATCTCATCACTGCCTTTTCCCCACATGTAGCTCTCGACTTATGACCACAATTGAGCCCAACATTTCTGTTGTTAAGCAAGGTAGTTGTTAAGTGAGTTTTGCCCCATTTTACCTTTTTTACCACAGTTGTTAAGTGAGTCACCACAGTTGTTAAGTTACTAACACAGTTGTTGAGTGAATCTAGCTTCTCCATTGACTTTGCTCATCAGAAGGTTGCAACAGATGATCACATGACCCTGGGACATTGCAACTGTCATATTGTAAATACGAGCCAGTTGCCAAGTGTCTGAATTTTGATCATGTGACCATGGGGATGCTGCAGTGGTTCTAAGCGTGAAAAACAATCATAAATCACTTTTTTCAGTGCTGTTGTAACTTTGACCAGTCACTGAATGTAAGGCGAGGACTATCTGTACTTTTCCTAGAAATATAAGCTTTCCTGATTAAAAATCTTGCAACATCCAGATTACCCCTTATTCCTTTTCTCTCCACTTGGCTAATTGGCAACCTCTCAGATGTTGAAGTAATATCAGTGAACCTCATTACAAGTAAGATTCATTTAGTCAACAGAGCAGCCTTAATTGGGCTGTCTGTGCCTCCTTTAATCAAGGAGTCTGTCACAGGTTATTATGTTGGTGGCCACAGCTCTGTGGCACAGCAGATGTTCTGAATGCAAGAGGTCTGCACTCCAAGGGAAGGCCTGGGCAGGAGGAGGTGAAGGTTCCCAATCAGCAAGGCCAGGACAGGACTGTGGGTTCGCATCCCAAGAGGAAAGACTTCAGGTGTGGGTAAATGGGCCTAAGCCAAGAGACAGCTGCGCTCCTAAATTGTGCACATGCAAAGGACAACCATCCTTGTCCTGATTCAAGGGTCACACACTCTCAACAGTATCACTCAGTTCATGGGGGACAATTCCCCAAGGTTATTCCCTTCTCACCTGAGAGCTGGCACTGCCGGGGTACTGACCGTGGCATCAGGTTTCCAGCTTGGTGCAGGCATACCACATTGGCAATCTCCTGCTGACACTGCTTACTGCTAGCTCTGGCTAACGCAGACAGCGCATCTTTGCCTGTGATTTCACACTTGGGAGTGAAGTTGTTCTCGGTAGGCTGTGGGGCCCCTTCCACACTGCCGGTGTCTCCGTGCTGGAACATGGCCAGTTGGGCATCCTTTCTAAGCTGCGTCCAGTTCTTTCGACTGGAAGTATCCAAATAGACTGGCAGCTTGAGACTCGGTTGATGCTTCACTGTGACAGTCCTCACCACTTTGGCAACCAGCATACCAGGATTCTTCCACCTTTCGTGCTTCCTGTTTAAACTGCCTCGCCGGCCTGCAGAACTGTCCGAATCCTTTGACCCATCACTGTTTTCAAGAAGCTGGGGCTTCCTTTGCTGAATCTGCTCCAGTTAGAGAGGTGGGGGGGAAGGGAGGGGGGGAGAGGGAGAGGGAGAGAGAGAGAGAAAGAGAGAAACACAAAACAGACAGGATGGAGAAAGAATTAGCTTGAAGACTGCTCACTTAGCTACTCTGCTGTGTGTTTTCAAGCAACATTTTATTTTTCTAGATAAATATTCCTTTGGAAAGTTTCACAAACCTCATGTATAATGCATCCTGTTTAGTAAAGACAATGGAACAGGAAAAATAATAGCAATGGGCACCAATATGCATTTGTTAATCGTGTCTGTAGAACCACCCAGGATTAAAAAATATAGCATTCCCATCTATTTTCAGTCACGGCGGAGTAAGGCTAGAGAAGCCCACTTTAAAATCCCCCCTTCAGCCATGAATAAATGCATACTTAGCTATTCAGGACATGAACAGACAGCTCACAACTGGCATTCCAGGTCTGGAATTGCTCTCTAAGGTAAGTGACTGTTATTCCCATTTTACATAGGGTAAAATGAGGCAGAAAGACTGTGTGGCCCTGGGCTATGCAGATAAAGGAAGATATGAAGGACAAAAGTGGGTTTGTAGCGAAAAAGTTAAAAATGCAAAGCATTTTGATGTAAACCAATCACAATTTTATTCAGATTTAGAATGAATGAATGAGGGATTTATGGGCTACAACCAGATGCTTTGCGCGGTCCCTCCAAAACAAGTTCCATTCAGTGGAATAAAGCAATAGCACTGATGCCACACAAAGGATTACATTCTGATTCTAGAACATATGATTTATAAATGTGTTCTATCTTCCTGAACTACATAGCCCTGAGAAGATAGCTATCAGTCCAAAACCTGAATAAAAGCCATCAAGCTTAAGTGCTTATCTGCTGAACCATATCAGTTTTGATATTTCAGAACGGAAGGGCTCATCTACATACAAAAAACATTGAGAGAGGTTGAAAAGCATGTGGCTTTAAAAATGGTTGTCTTCAAGGATGACTCAAGTAGCATTGCCTAGAAAGTAACGGGGAGCAATTAATTCTTCTGTATGGAGCCCCCCCTCCCCCCTTTAAATTCCTCACTTGCACAGCAGGAGTGGAAATTGTTTCTGCCCATGTGAACACATTCTCTGCTGGTTATCTTCCGTCTTCACTGCCATCTTTCAACTTACCAATTCCCATAAGAGCTTCAAAATCTTTGCATCTCTTTCCAAATAAGGGAAAGGTGAAGTCATTGGCAAAGTGATAAAATGTCTTGGCAAGAATCCAACCCTTTCCCTTTGCTAGGTAGCTTCTCTCCACCTCCCTTCATTGTCCAGCTCTCCTTTCTTCCTCCTCCCATCCAGGTCCTGCAAAGCCATTTGATTTGGGTGCTGATGGGAATCTTGACTTCTTGGTAGACATGGGATTGTCTTCCATAAGAAGGGAATTCCCACGACTGAAACAAAAGACCTAACAAAGCCAGAAACAGGCTGCACTGACGAAGTGTCAGCCCATCAGGCAACCACCATATAACTATTCAGTGTCCTCCAATTAAATAGGAGCAGGCAGTCCTTCAGTGGTCCAATTGGAGCTTCTGATGGCTACTCCTCATGTACTCCAGAAGGTTAACGTACGAGTATTTCCCCCCACCCCACTTTCCATAGAAAATAACATGTTTCTGTTGGGTCACCTTGATCCAGCTTCAGCCTGCCTCAACAGTTGGTTGGCACCAAGATGGAGGCTGTGTTGTGAGGATACCTTCTCAGTGAACAATAAGAGGAGCATCAGAGAAAAAAGGCTGTACGGATGAGATGGACTACGGATGACAAACAGAACACATCATTTTCCAATGATACATCCGTTCAAAATTATGTGTCCTGACAATTTTCATCAAAGGTTTTTCAGAGGCTCAAAGCATCGAGCCCCTGTTTTGTGCAGTGCTTGTTTTCCGTGCTTTGCTTTACTAGAATCTCTAGACAAACTATTTCTCTTTCTCTTTTTAAATATCCTCTTATAAAAGTGTGCTGACTCTCAAAAGTACATTCATGAAATAAATGGATGGGTTTATCAATTTATAGGTCCAATGAATACCATTCAGTTTAACTGGGAATTGACACTGATTCATAATATAGATCTGCCTTTTCCAACCAGGTGCAAGTGGCTTTCTTGTTATTGTGATGGTCCTTCAAATTTACTCTGATTCACGACGACTATATGGAAGGTTTATGCTGTTTTCTTGCCAACATTTTGGAAGTGGTTTCCTGGCACTGTATCTTCTTCCCAGGTTGAGAGACAGCGAGTGGTCCAAAGTCACTGTTTAATGCAGGATTAGAAGTCAGGTTTCCCTGCTCCTTGTCCAGTGTATTTATCCACCACACCAACTCACTCACTCACCCTCTCTCTCTCTCTCACACACACCCTCTCTTTCTCTCTCAGCAATTTATTTTGCTGATTTGATGAGATTTATAGGCTCTACAAAAGTGGAAGGTACCAGATTACAGAAGGCTGTCTTCTCCAATTTATGTAATAGTATGTGGGAATTATTTTGGGAGAAAAGAGGAAAAGCTACAGTCTAGACAATAGAGTCCAAAGAAGGAGAAATGCTGACAATGTTTCAGAAGGAATTTTTCTCTAGTTTTCAGGAGAGTAAAAGTAAAAGAAAGAGGGATATTTTCATTTCGTTCCTTGGAAGATTCTGTTAATGCAACCTTACAAGAAAGATAGAGCCAATAATCAGTTGGGCTTCTTTTATGGACTACTTTGAAGAGCTAACAGTCTGTCAATCCATTGCTTCTTTTGGTTAGATATTCAATTCTCATATAATTTTAAATTGCTCCAGTGTAATCTTCTATCTGATCTTGTACCCGTGTCCTTCTTTCTGCCTTATAACAAAAAGTCAAAGGGTAGCCCCCAAAAGGCTCAATTAGTTTTTAGGATGTATATTCCTTCAAATCAACCTTGAACCCTGATGACTGCCTGGACAAATTCATGCAGTGTTCATGGTAGAATTTTAGAAGTGGATTACGACTGCCTCTTTCCTAAGGCTGAGAAAGAACAACTGACTGAATGTCACCCAGTTGTCTTTGTGCCGAAGGCAGATCTAGAACCATGGTCTCCCAGTATCTAGCCCAGTGACTTTAACTACTACACCAAAGAGGTTCTCAAACTAGCTCTAGGGCTCCACAAAGCATTTAGCAAGGCACTTGCTAGTGGTAATCTTATCTCAAATATCTTCTGTGCAACCTTCTGAATAATTTGCACAGTCTTAACCAGTACCTCTGAAAAAAGATAGGTCTCTCAAGATTTAGTACCATTATTGGATACTGAGCCCCGATGGCGCAGTGGTTATAATGCAATATTGCAGGCAAACTCTGTCCACCGCCTGGAGTTCAATTCTGATGGGGACTCGAGATTGACTCAGCTCTCCATCCTTCCTAGGTTGGTAAAATGAGGTCCAGGATTGAAGGGGGAAATATACTGACATTGTAAACCACCCAGAGAGTGCTGTAAAGCACTATGATGTGGTATATAAATCTAAGTGCTATTGTTATAATGTCCATCCCAAAAATCCTCCTACCATCACTACCCTTATTCCTAACAGTTTGGGACAATTGTTTTTATTGTCAGCTTTATTGATAATTGACAAATTGGAATCTACCAAAAAAAAAAAAAAGAGTGAACCTATTCAAAGTCTTTCTTTTCTTTTCTCCCCTTTTCTGCTTCTCATTCCCATCCTGTTGTAGCTACACAGCCATCCTTAGATTGCTGGGTTTATTTTTCCTCCTTTCCTATCCTGCAAATATTTTCCCCTACTTTTGCAATCATCAAAGGTTCCCCGGAGCACGGTGATATATTCCTCTTATTTCTCAGTGGCCCCATTCTGGCTACAATCTTGTTGGTGCTCATCAGCTGACTTCGCTATTAGAAAGAAAAATGATTAGATTTGAATTCATTTTAAATAACAACTGACTGCAAAGCTTTTCATACAGTCCCTCCCACTCGATGTTTTTTTAAGTGTGTGGGAAGATGGTTACTTAGCCTTACAATGCTGATAGCTTGTACAAAGGCGAAAAGTGTGCTGCTGCTCCCCAAAAGCAACGTTCCGCCATTTCTATTCCTATTTTTCACAATTTGTTTTTAATTTGGGTTGCATGCAGTTCTCCTTATGCAGCAATTGGAAGAAGGGAGGGGGGAAGGATCAGGCTGTTCAGACAGAACATTCTTCAACCACAAGAGTACATGCCTAACATTGAAAATGACGGAATCTGAAACAGTTGGAAGGCTGATCTATAACCAAATGCACTACTCTAGGGGTTTCAAACTCAAGGCACGGGGGCCGGATCCAGCCCGTGGGGTGCTTAGATCTGGCTCACAGGGAAACAGCAAAGGACCAGCCTGTGGTGCCTCTGCCAGCAAAAATGGAGCTCGCAAGGGCCACTCGTGACCCTCGCGAGCTCCATTTTTGCTGGCAGAGGGCCGCAGAAGGCAGTCACAGCCAAAAATAGAGTTTGCGAGGACCACAGGCACACCTCCCGAGCTCCATTTTCGCTAGCAGAGGGTTGCAGGGTGCTGTCACAGCCGAAAACGGAGCTCGGGAGCCTGTTTTCACTGACAGAGCGCTTGGACCACCACATCCACCCCGACATGAGTGACGTTGAGCTGGTCACACCCACCCGAGGTCAAAAACACCTGAGGTCAAATACAACCCTGATGCAGCCTTCAATGAAATTGATAGCTGACACCCCTGCACTACTCCATTAAGGATACAGAGGCAGTTATGAAATTGTACTAGGAAAAAAAAAGGCTTTCCAATCCCCATGTCAATCTTCTCTGCACTATTTTTGTATGCTAAGCATTAGTATTTGTACACTAATGTAAGGGGTGTGTGTGTGAAGACAAATTTTCTTTGTTTGATAGTAATGATTTCTATCATCTGAACAGCTTCCTACAAATACATTATTCCCGTTTCAGTCAGACGTTAAGAAAGTGTTCTGCATCTTCCCTCACCTTGGTGTTCCTCTAGGGATGTATGG